AGTATATATTTTTTTTACATCACACTGGAGACTGACATTATATTCTCATATTCTCATATGTTTTTCATGCCAAACGAGAAAGAGAGAGACAGAGAGAGAGAGAGAGAGAGAGAGAGAAGGAATGAAAGAGAAGTATTACTCAACAAGAGTTGCTTGTGACGAAACACAGTTGGCTCTTTGTAATGACTGCGAGAGCAATGTGCTGATGTAGAGGTGTCTGTGTGGATGTGTGGTATTTTACGAGCTTTGAAACGACCATTTTCATCAACACAATTGCAGAAAATTTCTCTCCTTCTTGTGTTCTATCAATTCCGAACTGTTGGAAACGTTCTACATAAGCCGTATCCAAACATAAACTATGCCAAAGACAAATAAAGCAACCGAGACAACGGAACCCAAATAATATTGTTTAGGGACTGCACAAAGAAAGTTCACGCGCAAGGGTCTCTCTCTCTCTCCCATTCGATGTCTCTCAATCCAGATTTATATGACTTTACATCAAACACTTGCGTCTTCTTCACTTGCTTTTGTTTTACATTTTCAGAAAAAACAATAACGAGATTGATGTATGATAAAGCGTATTTGAATTGAATTCCCACCAAAACCTATTTGTAAACTTGATTTATTACGAAATTTGATTTGCAAAAAAAAGCCGAATAAATTGAAAAAATCGTTTGCAAAACTTATTCGAGATTGACTGCATTAATTTCAAATAAGTGGTTGTGATTCGAATCATTGATACAGGATCGCATTGAGACTGAGACCAAGACTGAAACTTGTAAACTTCAAGAAAGTGTTTATATTTTTTTTTTGCAAATTCCCACTAACAAAAACTGTTGGTAGCGTGCACTATGTACACCATTTCTCACAGCTGTTTGTTTTTCCAATCGCGATAATGAAAATGCTTCAGGGTACAAAAAAGCCGTACAGTAAGAGTTTTTTTTATCATGCATTCTTTTCCCCTTGTCTACCATTCTTTGGCGGTAATCCTGCGTTCATAATGCAAATATTCAACATTGTTCTATCTAGGATGTAGCTCAGAAAAATCTGTAATCTGAAAATAAAACTTTAGGCTAAGTCAACAGCTTACAGAAGAAGAAGAAAACAAAACAAAAATACACGTTTTAATGTTTATTAACAAAATAAACAAAAGAACAACAACAAAAAAAACATTTTAGAAGAATTCTTGGCTTTTTTTCTTCGTCTCTCTTTCTCTCCTTCTTATCATATAATTCGCGATTTCAACGAAACAACTGAAGCTGCATCCGGATGATGAATTTGACGTACTACTAACCAAGCGAAAATAAATCTCTAATGATGGGACAATTGTTTTGAGATGCGGCCATGTGATTTCTAAAGTTTATGCTTCAGCAGACAATGTCATCTGATATATGTAATAGAGTATCTCCTACTGATTTGGTAAGAGAGAAGAGACGATAAAAACAGACCAACGAATGATAGCATTGAATATTATTCTGGCTCTACAAGTGACAGCTTGTCACGAAGCACTCAGTCACACAGTCACCATGGAGCAAGACGAGAGAATATGACTTGATTTTAATTGAAACCAAACCTCAACAAGAGAACAAAAATGCCATTTAATTAATGCTCATCACGTGATCCAAACATTCGGTATGGAAGGAAAGAATCATTTTTCCTCGAATGTACGACAATTCGACGAAAATGTCAAAACAATTCAATTCGCTTACGCTTATTATCAATGGCTTGTTTCTGGTGCATGATTCCCTATTCTATGGACCATAGAAATAATTTTCGCAATGTTGTTACATTCAAAGAATTTTTGGCAAGATTCAATGTCCAGCACATTTCTTTTGATTCCAATAGATTCCGCCCGGAGAATCGACGAAATGGACAGCTCATGATAACCGTTCGCATGGTCAGTTTTTCTCATTTTCCATTTTGTTCATGTCAAACACAAATGAACATTCTCCGTTTTAAATTGTTATTCCTACGTGAACAATCTGCGAAGGAGCTTGGATAAAAAGATTGATGAAAGGATTATTACAGTGCTAAAGAAATAGTTGTTCCTTGAATTTTATATCAATCTTCAACAAAAATGACAGCACAGTGTCATATAGGTCTTTGCTGTGTACGCGAAGTATAAAAGCAAATAAAGATGAAAAATAAGTGTTGAAGCCATAGATTGTGATATATTATGGTAATATTAATCCTAATAATCTTTTAATGCAGCAATTAAATAATTTATGCAAAGGCTCATAATGACCTATTCGAATATATTCAGAGCATAGCATGTGCACATGCTCAAATCGATTTCACTATAAATGATCATCTCGGCGAAATGAAGATGTTACGCGTAAATTATCTATCCAATGAACAGTGATTTGCGACTAGAGCCTCCGTGATAAATGACTGTGTGTCGCAGAAAGTGGCACACTAAAAAGAACAACAACATTTGCATACAAATTACAAATAAGATTTTGACAAAATTTTCTCTGACTTAATTAGAATAATTTTATCATCTGTTTGTATTTTCTTATTTAACCGCAACAAAATGAGCCTCATTGATATTATTAGAGTGAGAAAAGTTGAAGGAGAGTTCCTTTCACGTCGAAGCGTTTATGTATCTCAGCCACAAAAGGGACATAAAAATTGAAGTTTCAATCTCGACAAAATGTCTTGTTTCATTTCTGCTTTCGGTTTTCCGCTCAAGTCAAAAGTGGGTTTTTTCCCCTCAATTTAAATGCTTTTCCATGGTTGTGAAAATTGTCAGGATTACTATTTCAGTTTCAGTCGGCCAACTAATAAGTGGATTGATCATTTTTCAGCAGCTTTAATAGGGCTTCCGTCCACTCAGCACCGGATCTGAAACGTACGGAAAATTGGAATAACAAAAACAAAAGAAAACAATAAACAACAAAGTTAATACGATTTTGATGGGAAACTTTCGTATAAACAATGGATACAAAGGTCGAAGAGTAATTCGCCACAATGCCGCAACGTTGACGGATAGAGTCAATCTGTGGGAATAAATTCCAAATGACAGATGTTTCGTATTATACAAGACATCGTAATAATGCGTTTCTCAAAGATTCCAATATAATATCTTATGCACTATGAGCAGGCAAGCAATGAGCTGTTATTTTGCTGTGAATTCTTGAACAGGTACAACGTACAAAATAATGACCCAGAAGGGAAACGCTCAATGCCTTCGATATGAATTGAGCAAGCAAAACAAACAAATCCAGGGACACATTTCCAAGCATAGAACACTCAAGTGGCAATAACACTTTCAATCCGATAGAAAGAAAAAAACAGAAGAAAGCGGTTGTATTTTCCCATTTGCTAATATGTCTCGGACATTTGTTGTATTTACATCAGTTGCAGGCTACCAACTACAAATGAACTGTATCTTTGAAGCAACGGAATGGAAATAAGTGGCAAGAAATTGATGAAAACTGTGAACGACTTTTCGCAGTTGATTAATATTTCATCGAATACGTGTAGAGCGTGCGCTTGATGTTATTTTGTGGGGTGCGTGCGTCTGAATCTATGTGTGTGTGTGTGTGTATTTGTGTGTTTATAGCACGTGTTTGGCCGTTTATACCTTAGCTAACGTAGAATACATTAGGCCAACCGTTGAGCGTTGTTGAAATGCGAAATGATGAACACAAAGTTTATTCGACAAAGTTCTATGTATATATGTATGTGTGTATTGATCGCATGTGCTGTGTTGACTTATTTTCCTACTTTGTTGATGAACTATTATTATACCTTCAAAAATATAATATTCTGTGCGCATTCGTTCATCGAAAATTACGTGAAACGATCAACTAATGTCGTCACTGCATTTTCGCCATGCGAATCCAAATGTGCTTTTCATATCGTCTCTTTTCGAGATTCTCAGTGGAAAAGCCAACTCTTAATGTACAATTTTTTTTCTCCAGTTAGTTTTCATCTTGTGTTCATGGCACGAATGTTGTTTTGCAACCATAAGAGCTTTTCGCAAAGAAACGAGCAAAAGTTGGGAGACAAAACGAATGGTAAAACGATCCGAAGAAATGTGAATTGGACATGTGAAGAGAGATACGGAAATGGCAAGAGATAGAGAGTTTGTGTGTAGAAATAACATCAAACGTTTTAGAGCAGCACACACACATATTTCGACGAGAGCTATAGGGAGGAAGGGAGATAGAGCGAGAAAAAAGTCGATGTGAAAACAGCAAGAATGAATTAACGAAGGATAGATTGTTGAGTATTTATTCAGGACAATGTCAACAGACGTTGTAGATGAAAGCAAGCGAATCGCGAACAAACTGCGAAAAATCTCCTGATTTGAATTCAGTTCAATTATTTGAGTAAGTGCTCCTGATGACACAATTCAATATTGTAAGCCAACTGAAAAGTGATAAAAACGTCTGCACCATTTTGTTAGTTTGCTCATTCTCTCTCTCTCACACATTTTTTTCTCTGCGAGAAAATATGAAATGTTCTCGCATTTTATATGAATACAAATGGCAAACTTTACTCTCATTCTCTCTCTCTCTCTCTCTCTCTCTCCCTCATAAGTATGGATGTGTAGGAATGAGTGTGGATGGTAGTTTGTCGCATTCCACTTTTGAAATTGGTTAAATTTATCAAAAGTCGAAGTTGCTTTCGCCAGTTTGTGACGAGTGTCGAACTTGGTGTTCTTCTGTTTGCATTTTTATTATCAACTCCAAACACAAATACACACGACACACATCTTGCCATTTGCATTCGAAAAACACGAGATATATATTAATAAACATAAGCACGAAACAAGCATCGCCTAGAGTGCTTTTTTGGGTTTTATGCAGAAATACATGTTACAAAGCTGCGCCAACTAGATGGCCTCTTACACATTGACACAAAAAAAGACTAGCGGAAACTTTGATATTGTTATTTATTTACATTTACAATTTGAATATTTTTTTTGTTTTCATTTCCCGAATGTAATGCTTCAAGTCTATTTTTCTCTGTCTATTTTTTCACGTTCACAGTTGAGCTGAGAGTGGGGCGTGTGAAAAAAATGTTGTACAACAACATCAACTAGAAGAGCGAAGAAGAGACAACAGGAGGAAAAAGTCCGTGAATAGTTTCAGTATTGTTCACATGATCGTAAAAAAAACGTAAAATAAATGCAGTCACCAAACTCAAATTTCCGATTTCCACCAAGAAATACTATCTAGCAGCAGCAGCAGCAGTAGCAGCGAATGCTAACGAAAACCGAAACTTTGCATACAATGAATGCATAGGGATTACCGTATTCATTGTATGTTTCGTATTTTGTGTGCATGACCGATAAAACCACAAAAATTATTCACCGATGTGGGCACACAATGTAAACATATATTGTGACTTGCTGCCAGGCTGCGCCAAATGAAAGACGAATTGAAATATTTGGTAGAACGGGACTTTTTTTTCGGGGTGTGAATAAATTGCTTAAATTTGCTAATGCAAGCAGCACCATCGAAATCGCATTGTGCCAACGGATGATAGTAGTCGCAGTGTGGTGCACAATTCATTGCACGTATCCAAATCAGTCGAGAGAAGAAGGGAGCGAGAGTGAGGAAGGGGAAAAAACCGAAATCCACTTGTCCATGTGCAAGCTCTATTGGGACGGCATCGAAAGCAGGCTAAAGTGAAAAATAAACATCGATTTGCATGCAAAAAAGAAACGGGTTAAACTGAACGGATCGGTTTTTATTTTCCTGAACGGAAAACAATTGCGATAGCTAAGCATCAGACACAAACACATACTATAACGTAATAAGGAACCATGGGAAGTTTGCCAAATTTAAATGAGCTATGCCAAGAGAAAACACTGCGTCGTACCACCGCCGAAAGAGAACGTGATGCAGTGCGCGAACGTGCCCAGCAATTGGAATTCATTAGCCGAGATTACAAAAACAATCGTCTTAAGGATAAGGATAAGTTGCCAACATTATTTCAGGTAAAAAAAACAATCACAATTCAACGGAATTTCAAGTAGATTTTAAGTGGATGAAATAGTATTTTTTCTCATTTTCTCCGTCGACTGGAAGTGTGAACAAATGCGCAACGACTGTTTGTTGGCACATAAAATTTGGGATTTAATTACAAATAAAAGTTTTCCTAAAACTTGCGAAACTTTTCCAGGAAATCATTATAATTGCGCAAATGTTTTACGGATATGTAGAGCCAAGAGCACTACCAGATGCTTGTGATCTTCAATTTCCGAGAGTAAACTTAGTCAAATTAGCTTTGCAGCATTGTTGCAAAGCGGCACGCATATCATTCAATGTGTTTAAAAAGCATTGACTTCCATTTAAACACCAATTTGATAGGAATGCCTTATGAACATATTTAATATATATACAACATTCCATGTGAATCATTCCATGGTCGTGTAAACAGTTTGTTTGAAATGAACAAAAAAAACTGAAGTTGCATAGCGTGACAGTGCTAAAGTGCAAAGTTTCTATGAACAATCGTGGAATGCGACGCGATTTGCAGCTTTCAGGACATTGATAAATGTGTTGACGAGGGCATGATCCATTCCCAATTTGATGGTATGTGTGCGTAGGATGACGATGACGACGTTGACGGCGTTGTGCACATCGAATTATTTCGGAATGTGTTGAATGAACTGCGACTTCAGTCTTGCATTACGTGTTGACAATGCGTGAAGAGAAAATGGGATTATGCGCATATATAATGAGATGCGAACATGTGCATGGCAGCTTGCCTTTGATGTTCACGGCTTCTGCCGTTTTATTTCCACGTTCTTTTCTCCCATCGAAATATTAGAACATTTGCTTCAATTTTACACTTGATGTGCATTATACACAGAACAAAAAATGTTCTTGAATACTGCTGCGGCTGCTGCAAACGTCATATGCATAAGTTTATACCCACTGCAATGTTTAATGTCATCAAATTTGATTTTTTTATTGTATTTTTTATTACAGTCACAACTTCCTACACACCATCATCAGCATCGGCACTCGTTGACATCACGTAAAGTCCATCGGACACGAAGTTCGGGTGCAACACATCACATTTTCGACGATCCAATGATGGAGGTTTGTACTTTAACTACTACTAATTACCAAGTTTACCATTAATGTATGAATACAACGTGTCGCTTGCAAGCCAAAAAAAAATGAAAACCTTATCATGATGAATCTAATATCCATTATCAGTGCCAATAAGTTTTCAATCGGAAAATGTCTCGGAAGTTCATTGATTTTGATACAAATGATATGGCTATATCAAAATTGTCGATATAGATAACACATTTTCGGAACCGGACCGAAGTCAAGCCCGATGAAACTAATAATAATGAATGTCAACAATCAACTCAATGTGATAAATTGCCGGGATTTTTCTTTTTCACTTAGACGAAGATTAAGTAGGGTGAATGAATAGCGAGCAAGAAAGGAAGGAAAATATGTGGGGTGATTGATTTTCCTTTGGATAATAAAAGCCGACGTATCGATCGAAGATGATGCCAACACCAAATCTGCTCTGTTCTATGCTGTGCTGCGCTGTGCTATGTCTTGGCATTGAGTAGTGCTCACTGTCGCCTGACCATAGCAAATAAAGCTTTTCCAATATGCTACGAATGAATGGACAACATGCATTTCAATTTTGTTGCTTCTCGCTCCTAAATACATGTTGAACGATTTCCTATTGTGTGTATGTGCCACCGGACCAAATGGATAAGTCCATCGAATATCAATTGCTGCATGAGGTTTCTATTCATTCAATTGATTTTATCATAAAGTCAATGTGATGTATGGCACGAAGCATAAGCTGATAAATAGTCAATGCTATTTTGTTATTTCTAGTGTTTCAATCTTCATAATAATCGTAATGAATGGTTACCATCGATGGACTGATTTAGTTCAGCTATCGAAATTGAAATCCGATTAACAAGCGCCAATAATCGGAAATTATTTTATATTTCAATCAAACCCGACATAAAACCACTTTGTGGGCTTTAATGCACTTTCATCAGGAACAAATATTAGTTCAATGAGCAAACATTCCGAAATTGAAAGCCACTTTAATATTGAAAATGGGTAAGTCGCAGTAAAAGGAAATAAAAATGTAGAAAATAGTGGGAAAGTATTCCATTTGCAATACCATTCCCAACCACAAACGTTATAACTAAAACTATATCATCACAATGTTCATTTGCAAATCAATTGATTGACATAGTATGGTCTTGTAAGCAAACGGACATTGTAGAAAAAAATGTTATTCAAATAGAGCTCGGGAAATGAAAAATGGAAAATGAAACCTAATAGAAACAAAAAGAAAGAGTTATATAGAGAGAGCAGAACATAATTATGCCATCAGCATTGCAAATGATCTCTATCTTTTTTTCTCCTTCATATTGATCCTTGATTTGTACAATAAACCGCTTTGCACATTTTATTGCTGATCTGCTCGACTTTTGGAGTGAAATCCATTTTAATACGTAATCCTCCTTGAATATCAAACTCGCCTTCGGCGACAAAATTTGCAAACAACGAAAGCGTAAACAATCCAAGGAGAACGACAATGGCGATGCTGGCAAAGAAGCAACCAAAGTGGAATAATATGAAAAAAAAATTGTTCTTTTTAACGGCCATTTATTATTTGATGAAAAAAAAATGAGTGAAAAATTAATCGTAGAATGGACGGTCAGGAACGACGTAGCTTCAATTAGCTGATGGCGTAAAATGGTGCAAATTTCGATTATTATTTTCCCTTCAGAATCCATTTTCCCAGCGATGATATTAAATAAAAAGCGAAATTATTCAAGCGTGATGGCGCACCGAAAATTCCTCATAATTCAACAAAGAGAAGAAAAAGAATGACATGGAAGACAAAACGAATTACCGAAAACAGGGGACGGAGCGCGTACATACACAAAAAAAGATCTAACATAAGCAAAACAAAATCGTAACACTTGTTCGGTTCTTTTCATCTCACGAGTAACCCAAATGATAAACGGGAGCAAAGTAATAAAACATTTATATTTGATACAGTTGAGAAAATTAATGGCATATAACAAACAGGCCCGACAAATCCGTAAAAGTTGTGTGATATCTCTGAAAATCATATATTACATAATATTTATGGCGACTGTTGTTAAATTTGCATTCCACAGGAAATGGCACATTCGTCAGATGCAGTCGTGATAATAAAAAACAAAAGAAAAAACATAAAATGGGAACAAAGACCATTTCAATACATATAGAAAATATTTAAAAAAAAAAACATCCCCACACACAAAATACATAAAATGTATATAATGAAAAATCGTTTGATTTCAAAACCACAGAGGAAAAAAAAACGAGCAAAAAAGCGAAATCGTATTTGAGGTTCAAAAGAGCTTTCAATTTGTAGTGTATCACTTTTCTTTGGGTTTACCTTTTCGATCGTTTTAGCTGTCACATTTTGTCATTTTGATCGAACATAAAAATTTGTGAACAAAATCATTTTCTTCTAAATGAGCTTAAAATCAAGCCGATACCGCATTACATTCTCAATTTAAGTTTTGGAGCGTGCAATATCCATTTATGCGAATCTAATCCAATTTCGTATGAAACTTCAATTTTTTGCCAAAAATAAACGATACGCACGTTTTGTTTGCATCTTAGAGCCGAGTAATACTGGCAATACACACGCTCACATTCTAATCATAAATTCTTGTGATATCGGATTTCGTATAACACGTTTGATTATGTTTTCGGTGATAGCAGTAGTTGGAGTGCACAAAATGCTGGCGATATAAGTCTTATGTGTAATTCCATTTCTTGATTTGCTCGGTACAAATTCGTATACGCAGGCAATTTACTCATAATGAATTGTTATGATTGATGTTTGAACATTAGCATTTGCGTGCAATACTTTCCACGCTTGGCATGAACATAACACCATTTTCGTTGTGTATACTTCAATGATTTTGCATAATTTCTTTTTTGGCAATTTTCCCACCGGACTTGATGAAGATTAAAGAAGAAAAGCGAATAAGAAACAACATGCCAACGCTAACGAATAGTCAATTTTGTTGATTAATGGATGAGAAAGCATGACTTATTACAAAATATCACTTACGATGTCACACCCGTTCCAATGGAACGGTTTCATTGCAACCGATAATTGTTCATCTAATCTGTGGTACATCGAGTGGTGATTTCATGTATATAGTCCATGGTATTTTACGTTGAAATTTAACCTCGTTAATGCATCAGTGGTTTTAGAGGCAGAAGGATTGTAAACTCAATTGAGTTTGCCACTTTCAATCATCCTCTTTAATGACACTTCTGTTCGATCGAAGGCTTCAATAATAAAGAGATTTTTTTTTTTCATCCCACTTGTTTCTTTTTTTGTTCGTCCCCATGTCATAGCCAAGCTCGATATTTCACACACATACACACACACAGCTGAGCGAGATGGAAAGATGTTCAATATTCATTATTCATAATTTGGTCATGTCATGTCATTGCCAGAAGCAGGGCAAACACTCTGTTGATTATTTGCAGTCACAGTGCTTCCGATGACACACACACACACCATGACTATTATATATCACAAAATTGCTTTAAATTAGTTTTCTTTATGTCTTTTTCATTCAATTTCATCCTATTTGGTTCGTGTCGCTTTCGATCGGAAACCAAAGTCGCTTGATAATTCCTAGCATCGTCAATAAACTGTATCTAATTATTATTAGCATGTTCGTCCGATTTTTGAGTAGCATGATGGAAAATAGAAGGTCGTTTTTTCTTCTTCTTCTTCTTCTTCTTCTTCTTCTTCTTCTTCTTCACTCGAATAAAAGATGTTGAGCGGCGTTGCCATGCTTCCTTTGTAGCAACGAATCTAATTGTCGTCGACGAAAGCAGTTGACAAGCACAGAGCACACCACCAATGGAATTGAAAAGCGTCCAATATGGGAGATACGATACATCTTATTGGCCTTCGATTCAGGTCACGATTGTGTGCTTTGCTCTGTAAGGCAAAATGCATTGTAATGAAGAAAAAAAAAGGCAGCACAGAAGAAAAAATACGCTGTACAAACCAGAAGAACGTTCTCAGTTCGTCTTGTTTCTGTTCTCACTTGTTTTGCGTTGTTATTTTCTCGACGGAGTTTGTTACTTTACACTCCGTTAGCAATTTAATAGATGAGAGTATTATAAATGTGTTTGTGCACAACGAATACGCAAGGCCAACTGGCTTGAATTGAACCGAACAACGGAAACGTAAACGTGATTTATATTCATTTGTACGGATTTGAATTGTGGATCTGTGTGCGATGGGCCTCCTTTGTTTTTCCATTATTTACGCAACGATGACAATTTTGCTCAGTCTCTGGAGGAAAAAAAAACATACAGTAAAATGCAAGCAAGCGGCAATAGGATGATACGAACGAGACAAATATCATAGAAGAGTGTATGTTTATAAGTAAACGTCATTTTTTTTTTCGTTCTTCTTGAACGAAGTCCATTCGAAAGATTAATAATATAACAGAAAACGTGATCGATTTCGATTTCATCTCTACCATTTCTATTAATCGTTTCGTTTTCAATATTGAGTATCAAAATAGCAAATAAAAAAATAACCCTAGATGTGATCCTCCCTTGAATTGAAATCGTATGATTGGAGAAAATGTCTGATGCTGTAAATCGTTTTCTCGTTTTGTTTTGTTTTCTTTTCTTTTTTTATCAGCATATGGCAGCGTATTCGCCGATTTCATCTCGCAATCATCGTATAAACACAGCGCTTCCATACCATATTTCCAGCATTGCCAATTCAGCGATTTCAACGACAGCAGCTTACAATGTGGGTGGCACTCTACCGAACATGTTTCACGGAAATCTCTCGGGAAGCTCTAGACGTCGCGAATCAATAAACAGTTCGATTGGTGCCACCTCAATTCGGCGACTTCTAACAGTTAATCGAGGATGTAGACATAAAATATCGTCACATGTTCGTTCGAAGATTGCGAAAAATTTCACACTTCTCATCATTTCCCATGGTTTGATGATGGCCGTTCTAATACCACTGTTCGGTTTACAGGTATGCTGTTGTTTTCGCCATACTTTGAAAACCACATAGACAATTAAATCTATTTTGAAATATGCAGGCATCCAATTCGATGTGGTTTCATCAGGAATCGTGGCTTTTACGGAAAATTGGACCGAACGTTGGCCCATTACTTCTAAGCTTGTGCTGTCTAGTCACATCCGGCATGTGTCTCGCAACACAATTTTTAGTCAAAAAACTCGGCTACATACGTTTAATTATCGCCCACTATACCATTCTTTGCATTTTCCTGCTGCTTCATCTGTATCCGACGATTTGGATTTTGATATTTGCCTACTCTTTGCTTGGTACAACACTTGGCCCCACATTTATATGTAAATTTAGCTTGGTCGTGCTCTTCGCGAGTCGAATGAGTTGTGGTCAAACTGAATGTCCGACCGTGACGGCAATGATGAATGAAAGTGGCGGCACCGATGACTACAAGGGATTTTGTAATCGAAACGAACGCGTGCGAAGATTAGCACGTTGGTTCCATGCCGTTCAAGATGTTGGTATTTTAGTTGGTGCGTTGATTGCATCAATTGTAATTTCGTGCGCGGCAACCGAATCAAACTGCATTCTAACGCAAAATTTTTTCAAACTAAATCGAGATAATAGCGGTAACAATGGTACGGCTATCGAAAATTTTCAAATGAATACGCTTAACAACACCCATAGAGGAATTGATACTAGTAATTTAAGTAGTAGAGTTAATTTTTTGTCAAATAAATCAAAATCGACCACTGATCCAAGTGATTTGAAAGATGTGCCACTACCATCAGCACCGTCCGATTCAGCGGCACACACAACAACCGAATCAGATGCATTTGGAGATGGCCTGAGCATTTTGAAATACTATCAGGAATCGTTTTTCAGTCAACACAATGAATTGCTGAACAGTTTATTCAATACAAACGAGGTAAGTAGGAGGTGATGCATTCAATTACAAATACGAAACGAAATGAGAAATATGAATGACACCAGTCAAACAGCATTTTTGATAAATTTATTATTTTCAGCGGGGAGTACGCATTTGTGGTGCGGGTTCGTGTCCAACATGGAATGCTCGAGCTTTTGAAAGCAATGTCACCGAGGAGTACAACTGGTTTACTTTCTCCGGCACCATACCAATAACACTGCTATATGTCACTTTGGCAGCGATAGCGTTAGTACTTGCTTCTTTGTCGCAACAAGTTGACAGCACTTTCAAGTATGAGAATTTCAAGGGAGTCACCGACACACTACTATTAGCCAGCCCAATGGCATTTTTTATAGGCACCGAACAAGGATATGTTATCGGTGGATTTACGCGGGTAAGCAATTTGACACGTTCATTTTACTCAATACTTGCTTAGGGCTATAAGAGCGTCTGTTGAACAAACAGACGAATAACAGCATTTTCGCTCATTCCGCACGAAATCATGCAGCAGCAGCAGCAGCAGCAATGACAGCACATTAATGCGATCACTTCCTTTGTTTGTTCCTCATTTTCTGTTTGTGTGTTTTTATGCGTGGGTGTAATCATCCCGAACGGGCTTATGCCAGGGAGGTCTAGATATCTTCATCGATACACATCACATCTCGTTAATACTATTATATTACCGGAAATTAATTATCACACAATTGGCACAATCTGACATTCTTTCACTTCTCCATTTCCCACACTTACTGTGTACAGTACATCACGATCGAAAACATGAAAACCCATTCGCTTTTTCCGCTTCTATCAATCGCAATCTTTGGATAACTTTCCTTGCGTTCGACGCATTTTTTTGTTGTGGAGAAAAAATAACCATATTCCTCCATCACATAACTATGTGCCCTGGTTCATCGGTGGAAGAATAGTTGAAAAGCAATCCATTCACGTGTGTGACGTATTGGATTGAGGCATTTGATAAAATTTTATTTTTCGATTTCCATTTCGAAGCAAAAAAAAAACTCATTCCATTCCCAATGGCAAGGAACGAAAACAAACAACATCGTTCACCGATACACACACACACACACACACACACACATTCACTTAGAATCTGCTCAAGATAAATGAAAAGTCATCCAAAGTAAAATTGATGTATGAATATTTGACACCAATGGAAGAGCAGCAGCAGCAGCAGCCACATCGTATCATAATGTGTATGATGAGGCCGCATCCGACTGTTCGGTTATGAATTTGTGTCAGTAAGCTGAAAGAACAATTCCACCTTTTCCCATCCTCGTCAAATTCGGATTCTGATATTTTACTGCGACTGATGCTGAATGGCATGTGCTGTCGCAAAATTTGACATAAAAATGTAATAATATCGGAAAATAAGCGAGATTCCTTTTTGTTCCGTTGTGTGTGTGTGTGTGTGTGCGCGAGCATTCGTGTGCGAAGTAGTAGTGCGGAGGGAAGGAAGGAATGGTATTGTAATGTCTATAAGAAATATGATCCGTTCCTCACATCAGTTTTTTCATCGTGTTTTACGTATTTTTCATCGTTTTCTCTCATTGCTCAGGCATTTGTATCGTGTACGCTTGGCGTACCAGCGGTATGTGTGTGCATCCTAGCTATGGCATCCCTACAATTTATCGTTGGAGCAACTTTAAGTATGTTACTTCGCCACGTCAAACGTTCAGCCGTTTTAGGTAAGTACATCGCCCATTTTCATGAAAGAAAGAAAAAAAGGTGCGAAATGTTTGGCATGTGATAAATTGTATGTAGCAAAGCGAACGTTTATTCTTCGGTTCGTTTTGCGCGCTCGAAATAACTTCGAGAAAAATGACTACTTACAAATTGTGTTTTGTTTGCTCCATTAACTGTTTTGCAGTGGCAGCATTTTTCTTCCAAGCATGTTTGTTGCTGGTTTTGTCCCGATGGAAACCGTCACAGGATGACAGCGCGCTATTTTATGTGATTGCAATGGCTTGGGGAGCATGCAATGGCATTTGGGAAACGTTGCTCTTCGCATTAATCACATTAACGCACACCAATAATATCACACAAATTTCGTCACCGTTGCAAGCGTTTAGATTCCTTGGCCTTTCGATCACATTCGCTGCACACGGTTTTCTATGTGAAAATTTGAAAATTTTAATCTTATTCATATTGCTTGTGATCAGCGTCATTCCATATGCAATGCTCGAAATCCGCATGGAGGGTCAACGCAAGGCACATTCGCAGAGCATTTGACGTAAAATGCTCAGCTAGTTAAGACCGCAACCAAATCGTGGATACTCGTGGTACTTCAGTTGCCGAATTCGATTCTAGATATTTCGATAAAATAGTTCTCCTCTTCAATTCAACCGTCAAATTTACCTTCATTCTTCGGCTGCAATCGTATTCGATTTCAATCACCTTTAAGCGCACCTTGACGACAAATCAACAAATTTTCGATATCAAACCTGTTCACAAAGTCAGTCACAGTCTAGTTTATAAGAACCAGCGAATCGATAGCTATTTCAATATTTATGAAATAAATTCGTAAATGAAATTGTACTATATGGAAATGAGTTTATCAAACCAGCCAATTGAGTTAACACTAGATATTTAAGTAAATAAAAAAATAACAACACTATCGCAAGTTTAGATGAAGAAAAAAAAAGCTTACGAAACAGCATTGAAAATTGAATTTAACATTGATAGATTTTAAGATACGTATATATATATATATTTTACCGCATAAGGATCAAAGTCTATTTGTTGAATCAATCATAATTTATGTTGATATAAAGTGTCAAAAATGTTGAAATACGCTTTTGAAAATTTAATTTCAATTCACAGTTTATTGATTATTATATCATGATAAAAAAAAATGGTATCGATTACACTCAGCGATTGAACGGTGAATTGAGCCATCCGAAAATTTGAACGAAATCAACTTTGGAATTGTGCTTATCGAACATTCACCACGGCGCATTTTTACATTCACATCTATGGCATGGCTCTCAATTTATGGGCATACATTTTGTCGAATATCATTTCAGCTGCGCTTGAAATGTGTCGTTGAGAATAAAAATGGGATTAGCCGAAACCGCTCATTTACATTTGAATCATTTTTGTGTTCCTGGTAAGAGATAGAAGACATATGTCTGCTGCAATGTTTTAGAACATTTCAAGATCTTTATCTTTGCTTGAGATACTTGCCCCATATCTTGTACCAGAAACACAAAAATGATTCGTATAAAAACACGCGGTTTCGGCTAATCCCATTTTTATTCTCAACGACACAAATGATCTGCTAAAAACAAAGAGTTGTTTAGTTTTCGCATTAAAATGAGTGTTATATACAAACTTTATTGAGGTGTTTGTTGTTGTAAGCGAACTTTTTCCATATGACAGGAAAGGAAAACTACAGCCATGGCCAATTTTCATCTAGCGACATGCTCACATCCACATACAAACACGTACACCTACACCTACACACTATTGCTGAAGATTGATTGTACTGTGGCAACTTCAATGACAAACAATGAAGTTGAAAACTACCATTCTTAACTACTCTGTTAGCATTAATTGTTACTATGTACTGAAATATTAGTATGGAACTGTTCAAGAAAAAACACATACAAAAATAGCGAGAAAAAAAATCTGAAAACGAAACAAAAAATATTTATGGTAACAAAAGAATGGAGCTATGTTTCCTAGTAATTTAAAATTCGATCAAGCAGCGAATAGTTATATAGATGTTAAAGTGTTCGTTAAAAGTAACAATATTGTCAGATTATAGGTATCGCAAAATAAAAAAAACAAGTATTTTAATAAATGGATAGAAGAGCCTTTGAACGGATGAGCGTTATTATATGAATTTATATGAAATCGTGTTGCAGCATCCGAAAACAAAAATTTACCGTTATTTAGTTTTACCCAATATTGTTCGTAACAATAATTATTATAAACGAACAACAATTTATTAGTCTTTGAGGAGCGAAACATTCTTTCAAGCCTTTCAAGGCTTTAACGTTGATCATATTTTCTCAGTCGGAATGTCGATTATTGCACTAAATACCTACCATACTCCAGTAGATTCTTCGAGTAGAAAACTCAACTGGGAATTTTCTAATGAAAAGTGGACAGGAAATTACATTGAATATGTAACAGAAAGTGCAACATATCATAACATTATAAATGCAAAGTTATTGAATGAGTTTTCATTATTATCATCAAATCAAAATGTGAAAAGGCTCCAAAATGTCTAGTCAATTGTCTAAAAAAAAAGTTCACTAACCTGTCTACAGTATTAACACTACTTGGGGTGAGTGTTTTGGTGTACCCGAAAAAGGAATAAGTTGTTAATTGGAAAGAATTTCTGAGTTTTATGGCGAAAAGAAACAAATAAAGTTGGTGGAAGTCTGTATGACAAACTAATGCATTAAAAGCATAAAACTTTGTGTTGTGTTTGATTTCTCTCGCCAAGCTGAAAGTAAACGGTGAGTATTGGAATGAAAGATAGTAAAATATTGTTACATAATAATTTATTGTCATTCAACTTTAGCTAATCTTCAGATTACAGTTCTAAGATGTCTTTTTATATCAAGATATTTTGTTATCGTCTTCTGTGGATGTGGTGACTTTTGCAAATTTCGATTGCTTCGTTCCGGTCATTACAACGAGGATCACAACGTTCCTTGCACCGATTGCGTGTAGAACCTACACTATACGAATCCGAAAGTCAAATTTCTGTCTAGATACTTTACTGTGTGCTTGTGTTGCGTGTATGTGTTTTTTTTGTTGTTTTACTCTTTTACAATTACGAATATGGACTATTTGATTTCAAAAAGATTTTGTTTGAATATTCTTTCAGCTAATAATACTCGAAACTGCATGATCACTCATTTCAACGAAAATACATTTAGAATGGTTAAATCGTAATAGAACATGTTGAACGCACTTTGTATTATTTTTTGTTTGTTTAACAAATTCAACTCTCAAACGCATGGCTAAATCAGAATTCTGCAATTTTACGATTACATAAATTGACCTGTACAAAGCGACAAAAAAGCACAGACACTCATTGATATTTGTTTGTCGATAAACAAATTCGAGAATTTTATTTTGTTTTTTGTTTTTCTCCTCTTCCCTTGGGAACAGGCCACAGTAATATATTGATTGTAAACCATCTGTTGTGTCATTGAACAATTCGAATGTTTTACCTCACTTTAACAGTTCATATATTTCAATCAAGTCAATGTACAGTCAAATTTTTTTTCATTTTGATCATGACATCACAACTAGTATAATCGTTATAAATTGCAATTTGTTTTCATTTTCTTGTTTCTTGTTTTTTTAACATGGACATAAAACATTCAATGTAATTTTGGTTTTGTTGTAATGAATTCCTATCTGGCTGTGCGAATCGCGCGATCACGAAAATTATCAATGCAAATCGAATAAATTAAATTTAAGTACGGTTTTTTTTTCTTCTTCTTTCGTTTGTGAGAACCGAGGAGAACAATATTGTGAAAGAACAAATTCGCTGGACAGAATTTGTTGCTATTTGTTTGTTTCCACTTAAATCGAAAATTAAATAAAATCACATACCGTAAAATTATGTTATAAATACTTGAAATATTAAAATAATAATTGAAAAGGAATAACATCTTGATTTTTCGTTCTTTTTTTTCGTTCACTAAAAACAAACGAGATACACATTCCAATATGTTGTTGAAAATCTTTTTTCAGCCAACGATATGCGCCATTTTCAAGAAAACAGAGTTGAAAATTTAACGGGCGATTCCAATTTTTCGTCGTTTGCGAAATGCGCTAAAAGAGATTCTAAAATAGCAATTTTATCGGCCGTTTTGCTCTTTTCTCAACTATACTCTTCTTCTCTTGTCGTCGCATTTTAAAATCTTCAACGAACTTTTAATGTGTGTTGCAATTGTTGGTTTTTTTTTTATAAATTTCTCAAAACATTTAAAATTTGTTTTTTTTTTCTTCTTAGTTTCAATAGTTAATTGAGTACATTTCGTAGTTTTGGTTGGTTGGTGTGTGTTTGTATGTGCTTGTTGTGTGCCGTTGCGCGAAGATTTGTCTCAGTTCCGATTACATTGCTTATGAATATTGTGATGGATGGAGGAACAATATGAGAGAATGTATGTGTGCGCGCGCTTAGATCGGTACGTATTTGCCGTTTGGCTTGTAGAATAATTCACCCTTGAAAAGTCGACGCGTGATCTCCGAACGTAAAAGTCGTTTCTCTTTCTGAATCTTCTTCAGAACGCCTTTGTTTTCTTGAGCACGTCGTGATAAATACGGTAGAACTTCGTGAACAGGACCATATGGGATGTACTTGTATGCAGAATAACCAGCTTGACCTGAATTTGAACCCAAATTTTATCATTATTATTTCCGACTATTTAATTTGTTCTATTTAATCATATTACCAAGTGGCATTGTGATGTAGTCACACATTCCAAGCAATTGACCGAAGCAAATGACTTTGTCTTCCGGTGATATGCCGATTTCCTTCATTTTTTCGATGGCAAACCGCACCGTGTCTTCATTGTGTGAGGCCACCATAATGCCGATTTTCTTGGCATCTTCGCCCTTGTCTTTTAGGAGCTTAATTCGACGCAAGCACTCGGTCAATGTTTTGTGATACATCTCGGTGGTTGCTTCGTAGTTTGGATTGATTGGATCAGTGTAGCCAAGAGCTGCAGCTCTTTCACGTTCCTGTTCCATGTACGCTCCGCGCACCAATTTCGCACCAAAATAAAAGTTTTGCCGTTTCGATTGCTCCAAATCCATGCAAACCTGTTGTGAAGGAAAAGGAAATAGAAACAAAAGACAACGACATTGACTTCGGGGATTTTTTTTTTACCTCATTGAATGCCTCTTTCAGGTAGCATTGATACGTATTGAAAACAATGGCCTTTTTGGTGTTGTATTTTCGCATCATTTCCAAGGTGATACGCGATATGGCCGGTTGGAAGTAGGTTTGTTCAGCATCGATCATAATGCGGACATCCAAATCTTCGGCAGCCTAAAACCGTGAATAGGAAAACAATCAAAATGAGCATTTGTTTACTATTATATAGAGATATTGTTTATCAATATTTTTCAAACCTTCACAATCGTGTTGACTCTGCGAATCATATTCCTGAACATTTCCTCTTCATTGGGTGGAATTTGAGAAATAAGTCGCCGCATTTGACCGGTCTTTGGATCCGGCACTCTGAACGTGTCGGACAATTGACTATCCTCATTCACAATACCTGACCATGGGAATAAATGCAAAATTCTGCAACGGGAAAATAAAAATCCAAAATCACATCACTATAATATGAGAATCGCTGGATCATGCCCGTTTTACCCTTCTTTGTCTGATGTAATATTTTTCAAAAAATTCTTTACATCCTTATTATCGCCCACTTTTGAATAATACTGCTCGAGATCCTTAATCGTTTTGTGATGCGACATCACATTACCTGTAATGTAAATCAACATGTATCAGTTATGTGACGTAAGTGATGAAATGTTCGCATTTGGATACTAACCATGGCCGCCGACCATATCCATCATATACTGACGCGTTTGCATAATTACCTCCGACAATTGCAACTGTGTGTAACGAGCGAACAATCATTTGTGTTAGAAATCATAATAAATGGCGTTCAGTTTTTTGTACATAATAATGTAGGGAAATACTCACGAGCAACTGTGGTCGTCCAAGGGCTGTTAGCTTGATGGCTGTAATTCCCGTTCCAAATGTGGCGCCTTAAAATGAGAATGATAACAATTCATGACTTGTTCTGAAATTATCTTGTGGTAATCTATACATGTAATACTAATTGCGTACAAAACTATGAGCTTCATGCTACGATAATGACTACATCAAAATAAATGTCAAACACATCTGTAATACAATACAGTATGGACACCAAAGCAAATACAAAACAAGCAAAAAGGAATCATTAGTTAGGTCTTACCGCCGCTACACCTGTTTGGCAATTTAGAATCATACACTTCAAAAATTATGAAAGTTTAGTTTAAATTGTTTGTTTGTTTGTTCGATTGATTAGTAGCATGTTTGATAGAAATAGTTCAAGCGAGTTGCAACAAGAGAGGGCCAGCGGCGATCGAATTTGATTCATTCGAAGCAGCACCAAAATATTCCCATTTTTTTTACACACAAAGAAGTAGAAAATACAAAATGAATAAAAAAAAACAACATGAGATAAATTAAATGAGCTGGAAATTTTTCATCCAAATAGAGAGAGACTATTTTACTAGCATATACAATGTGTCATACTTTAAGTGTTTAATAAAACAAGAAAAAAATGATAAAGATTCATTTGATAAATACGAGTACCGACTCATATTTCCCTATGGACACTGATTCGTGTTTCAAAATGTATTATTTTGACGCAAATGAATCTTTAAAGAATTTGGAAAAGACAATGTTTTACTTCTCAAAGATGGTGTCTGTTTCGTTATGATCAAATTTTTAAAACCAAATTGTAAAGGCAAAGTAGACAAATTCCAAAATACCATAAGAATAAATGAAATAGAAATAAAGAGCAAATAAATGATTCGAAATTCTATTTGAAAAAAAAAAAACCGTTCATAGTGGGTGGGTGGTTGGATTGATATAATATGTATGCAATTTCTAAATTTACCTGACACAGCTTCTAAGCATTTAATGAAAATCTCCATGTTTCGTTCGCAAGTGGCTTCATTCAAGTAGAAGTAGGTTCGAGCGCTCTTCACTTTGAAACGTCGATCGGCAAAGGTTTTGTCAACCGTATACTGCGGTAAATTGGAGGCATCACTCGGTGCAGTTGCTGAAGATGTTGATGCACTGCAACGAAATAATGAATATGAAGTCTTACAAGTGAATGGGATATACATATTTGTCACATCATTGGGTTGCTATTTCTACTCCTTTGGATATTAGATCTTTTTTTTTAATTGTTCGTGTGTGTGTGTGTGTGTGGTGGGTGTGAGTGATGAGAGATAGAAATATATCTGACTTCTCACCAGACAACAGCATTTTCAGCAGTTGATTGAGTAAAATTGATTTTACGCTTTGAAATTTTATCGACGTTTTGTTGAAGACATTTGGATGTTGAACTAGAATACCAAAATCAACGAATTTTCATTGAATATTAGATCACGGAATGGAAACGAATGAGAATGAACATCATAGTGAACATTATCGATTTTTCTTTCTAAAGCGGTCGCTTCTAATCGGGGACTGATTGAATATTTCGATTTTGTTTTTTTTTTTCTCTTCACAATGGATAGCTTCTATTGATGTGGGAGCACAAAAGGGGAGCAGCAACAAAATTGATTTTCAAACCGTGTCAAATACAAAACTTGGTACTCACTCAACTTCACGTTGCTCAGCTTCTTCCTGTGATAAATCCTCTTCAACCGAATAGTCAAGAATGGGCTTAACTCCAAACGAACGAAGCCTGAAAATTCAATTATAATTTAATTTTAAAAAAAACGTTGTCACATCGAATTCGAAACGTTGAAGCAAGCAAGGACAATGGTAATTGAATTTCGTTTAAAATAGAATATTGTGCGTAGTAGGAACTACTGAATTTTTCGAGAAAAAAAAAATTCGAAAGTGGGACAAGCTACACTTAGCGTAAACATTGAATAAATGCAATTAATAAATTAAAATTTGAAATTCCCATTTTGAATCAACCAAAGAAGCCGTTAGTAAATGGAAAGTATGAGTGGTGCGACTAAATAATGAAAATTAATTTCGATTGAAACTGACACAACTCATGACATAAACGTAACAAGGCACCGGGATGAAAAAGGAAATAAAAAAAAACAAATTCATTGCAAAACAGCAAAATATTATAGACGAATTAACCTTTCAAGAGTCGGTACGATTTTGTGGCGATCCTCACCAGCAACAAAGTGGCCGTAGAAAGTTGCCTTCATTATCAAACCGAAAAGTTTTTCGCCGAAAATCGCTTTCGATATTTTCAATAGCTATTTAAGTCATTTTTGTGTTGTTGTTGAATTGGCAATTTGTTTCGGTTTTAAATTCAAAGATTTTCGCGGTCAATCCATTTATTTGGAGGTCGATATTTATACAAAAGTCGCGCGACAGAAAGAAAAGAGAGAAAAAGGGTTCTTTGATTAAAAATCGGTTGTAAATAAAAAGAAAAATTACCTCTCAACGCACGGTATTATTTTATACTGATCTTCGCCGGCCACGAAATGACCGTAGAATGTATGTTTCATTATTGCGGCAAATAATCGTTGACCTATTATTGCTTGTACCATGCGCATTATCTAAATTGGAATTGTTGTTATTTTTTGTGTCAATAAAAATGAAAAAAAACACTGTTGGATAGTTTTGCGTCAATTCAGAAATTTCCATTTGAATGGAAAATGAAAGTTTACGCTTCGAATCAAACTACTCTGACAATCCATAGAAAATCGAATTTGTTTTCATTCTATCCCCATAAGCAACAACTAATTATTTCGAAGTCGTCAAAGTGCTGTCTTGGCAATCACACTTGGAAATGTCAATTAATCAACCGTTTTGTTTATATCAACCACAAACAAAACGCGTCAGCTGTTTGACGAATTTTCATTGCAGGCGATTGTTACAAAAGAGTTGAGTGAAATGAAAATAGCTGGGGTGACGACTTATTTGGACTTTAACCCACAACCGCTTATTATAGCGTAACGTGTTTATTCTTGTTTTTTTTTCACACATCACATGACTACAAACGTTTGGATATTTTTAACGTGTTTGTTCTTTACCCTCGATGCACAAATACATGCACAAATGAGTGTGACTTATTTATTTGAGCCATAACACATTTTTTCTTGTGCCCACGACGGCCAAAGTGAGCGTCTTCATCAGAATATTCAAATCCACTAGAAATATCCGCGATGGAAATGAAATATTCCATTTTGATTTATATGCGGCAAGCTGTTCCATTAACTTCGCATTCCATTCGGTGCCTAATACATTTGATCGGTCTCTTTATATTTGAATTTTTAGTGGAGTCAAATTCCATTGATGTAACAACTGATCATTTTGTCGCGAGCTACAATTTGAACAAAAATCAGTTCAAAGATTTGGGCAATTTTTTTTCGCTTGGCACGACGAAACGGTAATCGATGCCATAACACATAAACTGCTACGACGCACACTTCAAAGCCGTTGTCAGTGTAAACGGTTTCTACGTTTAACACGTGCTTCGTCGTTCACACTTGCGTTCACGTTGATTCACAGTGTCTGTATGCGGCTGATAAAACTCAACCGTTTGTGTTTTAACAACGGATCATGCTTCGCTGTTTCTTCGTTGCTTCTGTTGTGCGCGTCGCAGCATCTGTTTCATTCAAGCGTTGACCGGCTTTCGCACATCGATACCCGTCTGCTGAGAGCGATACGATACGTTTGCATACGTTTGACTTACGTGCACGGAATACAAATCTTGTTCATTGGTTTTGATAGAAAAGTTTGGGTTTGTTGCCAATTCAAATTCACCGTGAGTGACTCAATTAATCACACACCATGTAAACAGATTCATCGCGCATCGGTATTGCTCACTCGCTCGCTCATAATCTTCTTTTTCTTCTGTTTGTGGTTGATTCGTTCAACTCAGTTGTTATCGATGTCGCCTCATTTATATTACCGGTGTGCATATCATTTGAGAAAGTCAATTAGTCTCACAAACTCCATTAACAGACTTAACTATATTAAGTGCCATTAATTCACGCAAAATCAGAAGCAAGGTTATATACATATATGGGCAGAAAAAAGACAACACCGGTACTTCAGTAATAATAATTATTCCATATCATGTACAAAGTTCCAACCATTTTATTGCAATCATAAAGGTGCGGGCAAAAATTTGCAACGCGTTTGTTGCATGTTTTCTCTGTGATAAAGGGAAAATGGGTTTGCAGCCCAATATAAATTATACGTCTTAAACAAACGTCTAGTCGTTTTGCTTGTGCTTCATATATCAATTTAATGCGGTGGGTTTTTTTTGTTGCATTCGCACAAAAGCTCGTTTTCGCTCTCGTCTTAACACAATATACACCGAATTATGGTTTAGCTGGTGTGTATGTACTACCATGAACATGAGATGGTATATGTAATACAGCTTAGGAGCCGTCTAAATGTGTTGTAAACCATTTCACCCACATGCGCAGAACCGCGTGCCTCGTGCAGCTGTCATTGTGTTTGTTAAGATTTGTCTCGATTGTATGCGTGTATGAGTAATTTATTCAAGAAAATTCCTATCAAAAGGATGAGAGCCCGACAAGTCATACCAGTTGATAAAGCATTTATATTTCGATGAATAAAATGAAGCATGGTTTTGGGCCTTGTTTCTAAGGTACGGAAATGTCATATGGAATGTAGTAAATATGGTCTATATTTAATTTCGGTTTAGATATGACACATTTGTGATCACGTATTGTGGCTCTCGGAAGTAGAATAATTTGATTTGAAAAACAACGCACAATTATTTTTTCCTTCAAAATAGAGCCAAAATGCAAAAATGAATGCATAAAATTGCTAAGACACGTGATAAAAGAATTTATTGTTTCTATGGTTGAATTGAAACGAATTAGAATAGATTGATTGAGAAGGTACGGCTGCGGTATGCTTTCGATTGTTTCTTTTTATTCATTTGTCATTTTCACATCTGAGTCATTGTGTGAATGTGTTTGTACAAGCAAAAACTGTTTATTCTTCGGTTATTTATCGTTTCATCCAATCGCACGAACACGCATACACATAACTAGAAACTCATACTTTGTTTTAATTCAACCAAAATCTATAGTTTTGACGTTTTTGTATCACGAAAGCAATCAATGACGAGTTCTATGTGCAGAATTATAATAAATGGCAACCAAAGCAAAACACGAAAATTTTCCTAACGATTTATATAATAGGATTCGTTCAAAAATTGTTTCGAAGCACGCTTTTTTACTGTCATTATATAATGATAATTTGATTGTAAATCTTGTTGAATCCAACGTTTTTATTTTTCTCGTCAAATATTTACTTCGGCAAATAAGTTACTTTGATAATCTCAACTAGGAAATCAAGACGAATTTGTCTTTTGTTACTGTATTGAATTTGGCAATAGGTGTATCAGGTGTGGATGATTCTCATTTTAAATTTTAATTTCAAGCAGGTGATAATTATAGCATCGAGGAGTGTGAATTCAGAATTCAGACAGAAAAAAAAAACTGTTCCAAATGCGTAATATCCCACTCTGGAATGGAATCAATACAAAACCGTGACTTCTGAATTTACATCTTTGCCATTATCTCAGTTTATCTCGTGACATGATTACAATTTCTTTTCCTCCTCTCACTACATTGTTTGCTCTTTTAGCTCTGAAACAAGCTATAAATAAAAATTACAGGAGCTCTGACTACTTGTTCTGCTTTACTTATAGACCACATGCTAAGCGAAAATCATACGAAAAATATGCGTTAAGAGCCAAAATTTTCGAATACACTACAGTGTAAACAGGCTGTTTTTCATTAAATCAAAGAGTGTTTTCTCATTCAATCGAGAATTCGGAAGTAAGGTTGTGATGTTTCAACGGAAACATCTTTGATGTAATGGGATGCGTGACAGTTTTGAATGTGGCTTGGCAACACTTTCAAAGTTTGTAAGAATAATAGGAATCGTTGCATAAAATCGATTGTCTCATTTCGGCACACTTCCCAAAATAACCGACTTTGGATTTTCACAGACACCATTATGCGATTACGTAATATATGACTTCAGCTCGGCTAACATGGTAATATTTTTACATGCGCAATATTTTTCGCACTGACTGAAGCGCCCTGTCATCGATGGAATTGCTTCCGAAAATTTCCATTCGCATTAGCACGACGATGTATCAGTATAAAAATAAAAGACATTTACAGCCAAAACGATACGATGATGGTCCGGATGAATTATTATTCATTTTCCATATTCCATTCATTACCTTCATGTTATTCTCAACGAGATACTCAGACGAGCACATTAAATACACAAAGTAGGCGCGAATCAATTCCCATGTTGTCTTGCTTTTGAACGCAGCTATCGGATCGTTGAAGCTAACATCTAGTGGATCACGTTGCGGTTGCTTTGAATCGTTCGAAGCACTGTCAGCCGACGAGAATGGGGTTTTGGTGGCGGCCAGCGTAGACATTGATGTTTTTTGCTCGTTATCATGGCTCGATGTATTGATGTCGCGTCTCAAATCAAAGTAATACTTCTGGCATGCCAGTAGCTCAGCCCGTGAAAATGTTGCATTGTTCAACGTTGCAAAGATATTGCCTTTTCGCTGAACACCCGACCGCTGAATCGATGACGAGAACTTTCTTGAAACTGCTAGCGATTGATTACAGCGGGTAACTGAACGCAAAAACGCCATTACACGACACTAGAAACAGCAACAAAAATAATTTCGGGGATTTGAAAGTGGATCTTGATTATATCGTCACTAACTCTGAGCACAATATTTGAATATTGTCTTTGAACTCCAAGCGAACTAATATCTTAATTAGCCGCTAAAAATTCTCGGTGGTTCGTATTGAATTTCGTTGGAATTTTAACACTTCACACACTGCGATACTGACGAAAAATCAATAAGTGACTATGATCCAACACGGTTAATGCCGAGCACGGTTAATGAAAAAAAAATTTCACACAATTCAATTGACGGTTCTGTTTGAAATTCCACGTAATCAATGTAAAAACAGATGTTTTAAATATGTTAACACTCGAATTTGCTATTGACAGAATTCGTATTTTTGCTGAAAATTCTATTTTTTCTCCACTGCTTTGCTCGTTTTTTTTTTGTTTCTTTTATTTCAAAAAATGAATTTTTCACCTAACCGAAAACTGCGTGCAAGTGCGACAAACGATACTGGCAGAATGAAAGAGACACATAAATGATTGTCCGAAGTTTCGTTAGAAATCATGCGCAAACGCAAATCATGCAAATATTATCCTCTCTTTCGTACATCGTGACGGCAACCGTCAATTATTTTTATCTTTTTTCTTCTCGTTATATATCCATTTCGTTTTGTTCTTCCCGTTCGCACTTTGAGGCATTCAACGTTACGGCTTTGTGGATGTATACTTTTGTTAGCGCGCACTACACGAGATGATGATTGTGGTACTAGAATATCTCACGTTCTGACATATTTACACACAATACATTCGAAAAGGTAAACAGATGTGCCGGTTGACTCAATATGCTGCTGCTGCTGCTTTTGAAGAATTAATTGCGTTAACCCGCTCGAGTCTGTTGTGGCAACAAATTGCCACTTCTTCATTCTGAAGGAATAAAATGAACAAATGCTTATAAAAGGAAATCAATGATTTTATTTGACTTTTTACAGTTTTTTTTTGTGTGTATGTGTGTGGGTGTGTGTATGTCTTGCATACAGCATTTAGAAATTCGATTAAATCACTAAATTTTTAAAATTTAACTTATGGAACTTCATAAAACACCATTCATCCAACAAATGGAATGTGAACTAAAAATTGTATGTTATAGCTTGTACATGATGTTTGTGTTCGTGTCCGTGTTCGTGTATGTGTTGAGTGTCTGTTTGTGGTCGCAAAACTCGCAAGTGGTTTATTCTCTTTCGCTTAAAATTCGTCGGCAATCCATCCGAAGGGTGAAATTATTTTATACATTTTCTTAATTAGATATCACATTTGGCGTTTTTTTTCTTTTTATTACAAAACGACGAGAACGTAATATAAAACTAAATTATATTTCGAGTTAGCGAGGTAGAAAAAGGGAGAACAAATTAACAAATAAAATAAATATACCAGAATTTTGTTCATTTTTGAACAAACAAAAAAACAGAGAACCAATGGAAATATCACTCAAGCGAATTATTCATTGGATGATTGGAGATTGACTTTTATGGTAAAATTTCATCGGACGGAAAATGGTCGACACAATGAGAATGTATTAATTATTTCGCTTAAGACTGAAATGCACCGATATGTTGTTCTTGTTGTTGTTTTCCTCATTTTACAATGGAGCTTCATTCGGCCTGAGGTTGTGTGAACTCGAGCCATATTCAGTGTTTATCGTAAGCAGTAGAATTCAAAATGTAACTGAAACAAGTGTTTTCCTTCTTTTCGTCGTTATCTTTTCTCTTTTGATTTTTTGTCGGTTTGTTTCAATGGTCTTCATAGTAGATAGAGTAATATTATGTGGTATTATTCAAAAGTGTGTTGGTTATATTTCTATGTATTTAGAATTTAGAAGTTTATGTGTTTTGTACTCTAGTTTTTTCTGTTTAGAATTGGGATTTGGGGAGAGGAAGCTATCGAAGTGTTTTCGTCGATGTGCATTAGCATCGACCACTGTGTATAACATGATATTATTTTTGTTTTTGGTCCTAAGTCTAATCCATTTTAAGTTTCAGCAATTTTCTTCTATACGGAATTCATCTAAATATATATATATGGTTTCAGCCACTAAATTCTGTGTTGACAAATCAACAAAAATACACTTTCAATAAATTTGATTTAAATTTTGGTTTCACAATTTATAGTTTATACTAGTCAAAATTTTTGTTGTTTGTTATTTCGGAAGGCCATTCAAATTCATTAAAATGTCATTTAGTAAAATAAACTAATATTTTGCGGTCGGAACATAACGGCAGCGTTACTTATTATGTCAATTTGTAACATCTAACATCACAACTACCGCAATCTATCTACATTTTTTAATTGTTTGTTTGAACAATTTACAAATTGTAAATTACAATAAAACTCCATTTCCACAAGCTCTAAATGTTTTTCTATGCTTCAACTGTAGTACTTAGTAGTTATCGATTGATCGATGAATGTACATGTATGTGGAATTATTCGCAGTCCTAGTTCGAATGCTAAATAAATTGTATCTGATTGTCTAGCATGTGGATGAAATTTTGGTTTCGAATATAAATGCCAATTTCAAATGCTTTAGCACAACCCCATTCTTCTTCTTCTTCTTCTTCTTCTTCTTTTTTAGTAGATTTAGTCATGGTATTCGTGTTTATTTGGATTGCTGACCATTATTATGTCTTCTTCCGAATCCATTTCGTCAGTCTCCATTATTGGCTCTCTATCGTCATCGTAGTATGGTTGTAATTTACCTACATTTTATTATAGAAATAACATTAATATTTTTCATTTCTGTTTTTCATTATTTAATATGTGAATGTACTTTTGATCGGTGTGCGGAATAGTTCCGTTTCATCAACATCCTCATCGTCGTCTTCAAAAAGTTTTCGTTGCTCAGGCTTTTGTGAGAGTAATGAGAAGCTATAATAATTCTTGTCCTTCCTCCGTTGCGAGCAGCATGTAATCATCAGAGCGATAAATCCAACGGTCAGAACTCCGATGCAGCCGAACACAAGGACGAAGGCTAGTCGTGGTAGTCCCATCACACTTTCGTCGATAGCCAAACGCAGCACGATTGGTACAGCAGATATGGTAGTATTCACCATGATTTTCCTACGAAAAAAGAATTAACAAAATTAAATTCAACTCTTAATTGAATATGCTTTGGGTTGACAAACCTAGTAGCACTTTCGTGACCATAGGCAACCACCCTAAGAGTGACCGTTCCGAATGGCGTTTCGGAAAGTTGAAATTTACCCATCCCATCACTCGTATTCATGATTTTCTCTTTTGAGTCAAGCAGATAAACTTGTGCCCCCTTGATCGGATGATTTCGTTCATCCAAAACCACACCCGACAATTTACCGCCGAGAATGGCTTTGACTTCAGCTTTTCCAATATTTTGAGCCATTGTTTGGTGATATTTAGCCGCTTTTTTCGCTGCGAGTAGAATATTTCCCAGATCAATTATTTGTCCTTCGGACAAGTTGATGGGTACCGTTTGGATTCCAGTTTCATTGTTATTGATTTGCAGATCATATTGGCCGGCTGGCAAAATGACCCGGAAATAGGCCATATTCTTTGTAACTGGTATCGTTAAACCGGTGCCTACAACCGTTATGATCGATTGCCTAAGCGGAGCACCTTGAACATCTCGGATCGATCCTTTGACACCTGTTTCGGTTAGCTTCAAGAAATTGAGAGCTTTGTGTATGGTGTGCCGCCAAATATCCGCTATCGTCTTGTGCGGTGGCATTTTGCAGCAGCTCACTTGAATCGAGTACAATGGAAGTTTGTAGGAACTCAGAAGGAACTGTGTGATTTTCTGTAATGTTGATGTCTGATGAATGCGAAGCGGATTGAGTGCACATTCTTGGTATGTTTCTCTTAGTCGGAATTCGGCCATTTTAATCGCTGATTTCGCAAATATAGAGTTGGGATCGTCTGTGCGTGGACTTTGAATTTCAAAACCGCCAGCCGAAAATGTCATCGCCAGATCGAATCGATTTGATTCCAACATATTCAAAAATGCCGATTTCTTCTTGTTAAACTCCGGACTTAGGAGGCGATCAGCAAATTCTTCACGGATAATTGGATCGCATACACTTGTGTTGCTTGAATACTGACCGAGAATAAATTCAAAACTGTCGGTGAATGGAACAAAGTGCAACACTGAATTGCTTAGCAAACGAATATATGGCGGCTCCTGTATTTTATAACCTTCAATGACGTGTCGCGCCAAATTTAGAGTCAATTCTCGTCCAAGGGGTGAAGTATCAAAAAATGAGCCCAGAACCAAAATGTGCAGCTTTGTCTCTTCCGGGGAACCGATCTGGAAAATGGGAATATTTCGTTAGAAAAACCACTTTTCTTCGTGTTGGGCGAACAATGTTCTTACATCTGCTGTTACAGTTAACGATGGAAATGACATGGATATCTCATTTTCGTTGGCTTCGAACTTGGCAATCGTTATGTGTTTGCTCTCGATTTCTGCAAATCTTCGCTTGATTTGTTCGTCAGTGTGATAACTAGAATCAGAAGTCAATGAGTTAACAATTTTTTTTATGTCAACAAGATGTCCTAAGTTTGACAAAAGACATTTTTAAAGCGTCTTACTTTGTATTGATGATATTATCCATAATTCTGTAGTCGTATGCGGACGACCAATGTTGTGGATCATCATGCATGAGGCTCACATCGTATCGCAGCACTTTATCTTGTTCAGTAATCACAATTTCTTCTGAATGAGATTCAAAACCTTCAGCTTCGATAGTGATATTGTATCGGCCTGGTAGTAGTAATCTCCAGAATTCACCCGTTTTCCATGTATATGAGACGTGTGTATTGTTATTTATTATGATGGCAGCATTTTCGATCGGTTTTCCAATCGAACTCTTAACATATCCGAATACACCTTGATGTACTTGTTCAATGTATTGAATAAGAGCCTCCTGATTGTCGTCCCAATAATCTCGTAGATCTCTTTCCATTGGATATTTCGTGCAACCAACTTCCAACGTGATTTCAAATACATCAGCAAAAACGTAATTCCAATCTTGCATTCCACCTGTTACACTGTACCTGTACCAAGAAAAAATAATAAAAAATTTATATGAAATATAATTTCAGGGTTCAGGAAAAAAAAGGCCCCGTATATTATGTATATGAAAATGTACGGTGACAAATTTAAAATTACCAAGCAGCTCCATTGGTGATGCCATTTTCAAATTTCTCGTTAAACATTGGACACTTTGGCGCTAAATGCATGGATTTATGGGCATTCGAGTATACCCTAGCCAGATGTTCAAACAACAAATTATCTGGTGTCAAATTTGGTACGGTTCGTTCATTGTGTCCCGGTTGAAAATCTTTGACCGAATCATCGTAGGGTATATTAGCTACCAATGATCCTCCCTTTTTGGATATTAATTTATGGGAATACAAGTTTTATGAATGAAAAGTCATTTCCATTATTCCGATAATAGTTCATAGATTATCGACTACTTACATGCAAGTTGGCAGACAAAACGAATGGCAGCGATTTCGTCCTGTGAAAACGAAGAAAAAAAAAACAATATTAGAAATCTCAAAATGTTGCCGTTTAAAAATGAAATGTTATAAAAATGTGTTGGAAGAAAACATTTCGTTTTAGATTTGGGTGTGTGATGTGACTTACCATTCCATTATTGCTAGTGTTTCCGGTTGTGTATTTCGATTGAATTCATTCGTTCCATACTGGTCCGGGAAATTTCTGTTCAAATCGATATTATTTGTATTTTTCCGACCGACCGATGATCTCGCATCGCCCTCCACAGATAGTTCATAGCCATCTGGATTCATGCTGGGCAGCAAATGAATACGTGTCGTCTCAATCAAATTTGTGATTCGATTATCAATTTTATAGTTCTCGCATAAATATTTTGCTAGCAAAAGCAGTAGCTCGCGACCAACAACCTGAGATTGAAAGAGAAAAAAAAGATTAACCTTTTGTTCATTTTCTGTGTATCCTCACGTGATTAACCTCGTTTCCGTGCATATTCGCCACATATTTAAACTCTGGAATTCCGAAACGATGTTCGCCGGGATATTTGGCTACTTCAAGCACATACAGCTTACGACCCTGAACACTTTTACCGATTGAATAGAGCCGCGTTATGTTTGGATACTTATTTGCCAAATCATGCAAAACTCTGAAAATTGAAGCGAACAAAAATTAAATCACATTTACATTCGAAGCTTATATGCAAACGATTACCTTTCCATTTTTTCATAATTATGGTGTTTGAATTCAACGGGTAAAATAAATCCATGCTCATGCTCTCCCGTGTTTGAGCGTATTGTCTTTGGGTGCAAATAATTTCCTTAAATAAAAAAATAAACAAACAAATAAATAAAATGTGTTACGTAAAAACCATTTAAGACAAAGAAAAAACAGTGACTGCAACAGTTTATTTAGAGTGTGAAAAGGCATGTTTTTCATATCTCGTACCAATCAATTTAAACAGTTTACATTTATTTACATTCATTGACATATATTTTCTTGCAAAAAAAAAAATGGATCAAATAGAAAATTATCCATTGCTGAACAAAAGTGACGCTTTCGAAAAATTAATTTGCGAAAAAATATTGACTCGTGACAAAATTCACACAAATGCGAATTAGAGCATGCAAATTACAACATTGAATACATTAAATAATGATAAAATATTCATATGGCATATCCATTGGTTAGTTTTGTGCCAAACAGATTACATACGTCTTTTTTTTTATACATACAAAGCGTAGCAACAACATGAAATACGTTAATTGAATATGCATACAGAATGATCTTACGATTTACGTGAGTTTAGTTCATCTTTATCACCCGCAATATATTGATTTTGAGAATAGAGTAATTTCAATAAAACAAATGTGAGTGGTTTTTGGGATTTCTATTTATTTTTCTCTGATATATTGTACCATTTGTGCTGAACCAGATTTCAATATAAGAACCAATTTTACTGTGAAATATTAAATGTTAATCCGTGAAATGATTTCGAACCATCGAATTTATATCAAATTATCCAGTTTAAGAGACTCTTCGAGAAAATTCTTCATGATCAGAAATTTGATGATTCGAAATTCTAGTTCAATCAAACAGCTTTTTTGTTTGTTTTTCTTTTTAGAATAATTGCAGTTTTGAGCTTAACAATCGAATGCCATCAGTTATTATGTATACAATAAAAATGTTTGAATTAGGTTATAGATTGACATCAAATTTAAATAAATTTATTCGAAATGTTTTAATTTAGATCATTGATTTAAGATTTGATTTGACATTTAAACAAGTCAGAGTTTCGGGGAAGAAATATGCTAAGCGCCATCTTTGACTCGGCATGATTCGGAAAATTATTATATTATAAAATGTTGTAATAAAAAAAGATTGTTCAAAGTTTGACTTATATGTCTTCAAATCAAATTAGAAATCACTGATTTTATGTACTTTTTTTTTAATATCAAATCTGCAAACTTTAGTTATATAAAATAATTTTATTATTTCTGGTTATTTTATAATTTTTCTTTCAATTTTGGAATTTCCATATATCAAATCACTGCAAAGATAGTGTCATTTTGAATGTAAACTTTAACTGTTGTTGAATATTACAGTTTTTTTTTCAGAAAAAAAATTGTTGAATTTCTGTGTTTTAATTGTCAACATGATGACAAATAATTTTTTATTTGATCCATTTTGTCAGTTGATTCAAGGAAAGAATTCTGTTCGATTTATCAAATTTTCGATATTTGCCATTTTCTCATTCTGTTGGTATATATACAATTATTATTTTTAGTATAGAGTAGATCTGTATTGGGCGATCTGTTTGCCAAATTAATGCAAAAGATTTTTTGCTGGTGGTTATATGTTTCAAATATTTAACAAAAATAAAATTGTGCAAATTTTAAAAGAATAACTTTTGTAATGTTAACATAATTCATGAAGTAACATTTTGGGATGGATTCCGTAAGAATCATTCAATCGCATTTTTCTTTTTTTCAATGAAAGGAGACTCATCGTTTCGACTAGAGTCATGGTACTCTGAGAGAACGAAGGAAAGAAACATTCCGACCATACAAAAATGTTGTCAATAAATTTTGTAAACCTAATTTGTTAATAATTTAACATGTGTGTGTGGTTGTGTTCAATATTCCAACCATAGGTTGGATTATTTCCTTCCTACCTTCCCTCCCTCCGTATAGTATGATTATTTATCGGGGCTTTGTGTTTTATAATATTGTATTTTTTTATTACAAAATCTATTGCCAAAAATTCATTGTTAATATATTGTGGGTTGTATTAATTGTTGTTTTAACCCCAAAATCTACAAATTATATACAATTGTTTATGCCTGACATTTTCATTTTCGAAAATCCTTCTGAGAAGTGAAAAACCTAAGCCCAAATGAACCCTGCATTTTGGTCTATAGCTTATAATTGAAAATAAACTTCAAACGAAAATGAAAATGCAAAAAAGAGAGAAAAATAATGATAGACTAAAGCTAGAGCAGTCAAAAATGGAATGCCCAACCCAAAGTTTGAATTGTAAAAAATAAGTACATTGGAATTACAGTCATCACAATGAGTAATTGAAGTGGTGAATTTTGCGTCGCTGAATTAAATCCTGTAGAGTTGTTCATGATGGATTGGAAATAAAGAAATCTGTGTTAAAAGAGTTGTCTTGCTTGCATTCTTATTATGGTCTTATAGTGAGATTTAAATTTAATAGAAAAGCGATGCCATGGAAAAAGAGCTTTAAAACTGATACAGCATTTAATAATAAGCCATGAGATCAGCAGCAAGTTGGATAACCACACCATGCGATAGCAATCTAATTACGTATGCTTTCACCACAAAACACAAATATAGAACTTAATTCAATATGAAAAGCGCGACGGATACAGTCTATGTGGATGGAAAAAAATGTGTATTGTTCATTAACGTCTCTATGCATTAACGCGTGCTGTTCTTATTTCAATGGCGGTTTATTCACGTGGGACTATTATCGCGTATCTAATTGAATCGGTAACATGGTTAAATGGAGTAATTGAAGACTGTGTAAAAATACGCCTGCTTCATTAATATAGTTTTAAATTCAATGCCATTTGCAACGCATTTAAAAATGAAGCGATATAGATACGGACGTACAGCAGCATGATCCTTTGGAAAATCCATTGAATCGACGGTAACTTTCCATGAAATCATAACGAAATGCACAAAACTATTGGTAAAATGTATGCTACAACTTGTAAAATATTTTTGTTTTGACTCGCAAATGTTTGTGAAATAAATCAGCATTCATCACTTTTTCGGTGTAAGAGATTCTTCGTAGTGACTTTTTTTTTATTATCGAGAAATTTACATCAATAAAAAACGGTTTGAAGAAGTGCTTGTTGAACTTTGACATTTCAAATCGTAGACTTTGATCCATTATACTTATTGTTTTTATGGCAGACGAATATGATTCAATCATATTTTCTACTTTGGTAATCCTTCGTTAATCTGCTTCCAGTTCACTTCTTGCCAAATGCTATCCATCAAAATTGTTAGTAAAAAAACCACTTGAATTAAACACAGTTTAGGCGACCAAAATACAAAATGAAAAATGAAATTAAAACAATGAAAACGAAAACAAATTGTAATGAAAAAATCGAATTTAAAGTATAAGAATATTTGTAAAATTTCCCCAAAAATAAACCATTTCTATAACAATAATTTGTTCGTATGCTTTCAGTTCAAAAGAGAATGATATTGTGTCAGTAAATTTGCTTTGAATTGATTAGTGTGATAGGCAGTTAACGCTTAGTCAAATGCAAATTTTGGCGTTAAATCGAAAACTAAAAAAGAAAGATCAAGAAAGAAAAAAAAACCAAAAAGAAAAGTTCCATTTCAATACATTCAACAGTTAACATAAGTAGTCTTGTCAATAAAACAGATTTGTATTCGTTAATAAATACCTTCGATAGCCGCTGGTGCTGGTGACATGCTAAAGTTCAGTATGGTTGGTTGATGATCAACCACGGTGACTTGCTGAATCGAGCTGGGCTCATAGCTGCGAAAAAAAGAAAGTTTAGTTCGTTTAGCCTTTAGCACCGCAAGCACTCCAAATGGACTTACCCAAAGCCGACCACTTGAACGTTATAAGTTCCTGGTAGAAGCAAGCGCCAAAATTCGCCACGTCTAGTTGTACGAACTGGTTTCGTTTCCAAACCTTCGACCAGAACTTCCATGTCTGTCAAAGGATAGCCATTGTGATCGGTAACAATACCTTTGATCCCTTGGTGAATCATTTTTATGTATTCGATCAAGCTACGCTTGTTCTTTGCCCATTCACTTGGCAATTCGGATGCGTTGGGAAATTTACAGCATGACAACTCCAATGTGAGATCAAAACAATTCGAATTGACGTAGTTAAAATCTTGCATGCCACCGTTGAGCTCATACCAGTGAGCGCCATTCGTAATACCGTCTGGGAAAACTTCCTCACAATTGTGTCCAGTTCGCATGGTTGGATGATTTTTCGAATAGACCAAAGCCAAAGTGCGGAACATTGCATCATCGGGCGTTGGACTGTCATTGCAGCACTCGTTATGATGACTGTTCGAAATGGAACATCAACAGAGTAAATACGGATAGATAACAAAAGGTGAGCAAACGTAACAATGAGTAAAATAATTACATTGAGTTATCGTATGGGTAACTTGCTACTACTGCTCCTCCCTTTGTCCCCGTAAATCATCACACAGATAAAAAAGAAAAAGAAAAAAAATTCATTAATTAAAAAAATAAGTCGAAAGATATATTCAATCACTCCAATTGCTTACATGCAGATTAGCCGACAAAACGAATGGCAAAGAAACGATCCACTTCATCATCGCCACTGTTTCGGGTTGGTTCTGCTTAAGACGCTGGACCAATGATGACTCGAAACGATCTGGAAAATCACGGTTCAGGTCAACATTTAGCGCGTTGCCACGGCCAACATATCTTTCGCGCGATTCACATAATCCTTCCTGAAAAAATCCCAATAAGAAACCTTTTAAAATTCAGCATAAAATTATATTTAGTGCTATCTCGAATGGATTGTAACATCCATTTTGTTGAGAGGGATGAGATATTAGCGTCATATGCCGATGTGATGTTCTGCGTAGGTGTGTCAAAGGAATGACGCATTAAACACCACTCTCTGCGAATGGCTATAAAATTAACTCTGTGCTAACAGATGCTTCTCAATTATATAAAGTCAAATCAAATCTTATTCATTGAGAAAACAATTTTCTTGCTGCAACCACGAAGCATTTGTATAATCCATAATCTGTTGCAATCAAAACTCTGTTTTCATTCATTAGCTAATGGAGGTTTATCTTCATTTTAGTGCTTTTCTTATAGATAGAGAAGTGAATTGAGGCTGGAAGTCGTTTCGTCATATCACACCTATTTATACCACATTCGACACGAGAACCTTGTATTTGCAATGATCGGCATCATTGAGTTACACACCAATGATAGTTTAAATTATTTTTCATTTTTGTGGATGCTTAGGAACACCAATCCATTAAATTCAATTCACTGAGCTGTAAGCGAATCTTGTGGAATGGAATATGAATTGAACAATAAGTATAATGTAAATTGTAAACAATCTGTGAATAAAATTGTGATAAGAAGTTGCATCTTAATTATCTAGTCACAGTGATCTGCTCCAAAATCGAGAGGATTGGCGGTTGACTTGATAATCGGGTTGGGAAATGCAAGAAAAATGTAAAGACACTGAAACAAAAATTGAACAACAATTTTTTATTGATTGCCGTATGACAAAAATTTATTCAATAAAGAAAAAAAATTCATTTGAAGGAAGTTCAATCGCATATAATTAAAATATCCTCACAACAATCGTAAGCCACGAAGAGCTCTCTTGAATAAGTGATAAGCAGAGAAAGGTTTGTATACCGTTTTACTCATATATGAACACATGACGCACTGATATCGTTCAATGCCGGACTTTCTGCTTTTATTCACTCATTCATTCGTTGTTTACCCATCAACGCGCGAATCATTCATATTTTTGTACGCAAATTCAAAAAATTTCCCATTTGAAAGAAATGGCAACAAACAATAGTTATTACGGCCTTAAGTAGTTGAACGCCATTTGAATACCGACTGCCAGCTGTGCACACAACAATAGGCTACCTTCATTTTATATTGCCACTTTGAAAACACTCGCTACTGTTGTGCATTTTTTGGAATGAAATAAGTACATGTAAATATTTTGAAATTGAAACAGCACCGCAGAGAAAAATAAACACTCTTTTTATAAAAATTATATCTTTGATATGGAATCGATTTTATGTCGAATAAAATTCCCATTTAGCTTAATAAACATCGACAATTGATTTGCATTTCAATCAATTTTCTGACGCTCATAAAATGTTTTCATTTGGTTCAATATTACAAACTGATGAAATATATACAACCGTTCATAGACATAGTCATCAAATGAGAAAGTAGCGAATGTTTAATGTAGAACATTATGTTGCGTATAATTGAATCCCACACATGTGTATATAATATGTATAATCAATACAAGCACGTTGATGCACATACGTTGGCCAGTCGTGATGGATTTGCGTGCTATATCTGACGAAAACATATGCAAACATCGAACGAAATGAACTGTTTTGGACGTAATATGCTTAAAAAATTCAAGCATCTTTTACCGAATACAGAGTAACAAAAAAAAAATGTTTCCATTACACTTGCAACAAAATGAGCAAGATTGGGCAGTTCAATAAACTTGAATTGTTGTTTGATATGAACACGAATTCATTGAAGTGTGAAACGAAAGCAGGACATATGGAGAAAAAACATATTGATTGGAATTGATGAGATTTTCTGTATGGAATAAAACTTGTTTTGACGTTGGCAACGAATACCCGTTTGATAAACTTAAAGCGATAAAATATTTTCAAGGACTTTGCACGAATGAGTGCAGTCTACGTTGGCGCGCTGTCGATTCTACGAGTAGGAGAAATTTAAATTCACGGAACAACACACAAATATCAGAGATAGCATATTGTAAATACGTTTGCTTTGCTTTACACCAATATCAATCTAATAAAAGGTGTTAATCATTAAATCATGTAGTTTTTATCCAACACAAAAATTATCTAAATCGCTCGGTCTATTGCGTACAGACGTAATACATACATACACAGCGGCAAATGAACTACAATTGGATAACGAGCAGCAGTACCACGAAGTGTGTGTGTGATGATACAACCAAAAAAAAATCTATAATTTACGTGGGCGCAAAATACATTCGGAATTGATACGAACCTTTGACCGATTGAAGCCATCTGGATTCATCGAAGGCATTAAAAATATGTCGGTGCTGTCCACCAGATTCGTGATTTCCGGCAAAATATGATAATTGTCCAGTAAATATTGTGCCAAATAGATGAGCATTTCACGTCCAACCGTCTCATCACTAGAAACATGTCGGAAAAAGTGAACTTTGTTAGTGTTGATTTATAAATCAAAACTGATAACATATTTCCGAAGAAAAAAAAATAACACTTCATTTCGGGTTCAATGTCATTTTTAGTTTCACGATATTACAATCAACATGTACTAAATCACTGTCAATAACGGTACTCGAAGCCATTTTGGACAAATTTTTTTTTAATAAAATGTAAACTGTAACATTCCATCATACCCATGCATGTTTGCCACATATTTGAACATTGGCTTGAGTAAATCACGACGCCCAACATTGCTGCTGATTTCAATAACTGCTAAATCGCGTCCTTCTATCGAACTGCCAATTGAATGAACCTTCGCAAGCGTTGGATACTTTTTCGCTAAATGCGCCATAAAGTCCAGCATTTCTTCTTCGCTGTGGTAATGTGGTTGCTCGTTGAGAAAATCTTGTTTTTCGGGTGTCGTAAATGACAGCACCAAATTGCATGACAGCAACACAGCCAGACCAATCAAAAATAATTTAAAAGCGCTTAACCCCATGTTGTTGGAACAGAAAATAACAACGCATATATTTATGTGTATAACTCAAATCAGGAATGAAATCGTTTGGAACAATTTGTTTCTTTCTTCGTAGCACAAAAATTCGCACAGAAAAAAAAAATTGGCAAGAAAATGCAAAAACAAAAAACCTAATATTCTAACACAAAATAAATGGACTCAATTGCGTTTTGTATGTGAAAATTTAACCACTTAGAACACAAACTGGGGCAACTAATTTGATAACAATTCCACTTATGCTTCGTGTTATGCCTCTTGTTCGATGAATCGATGGATGGATGAAAAAAAATGGTGCAGAGAAATTCCCTTCTTCGGCGTATGTGATTCAAAAAACAAAATTGTCTTTGCACGATGAAATTGTGCGACGGGTTTTGTTCGTGGAATACGAAAATATTAAACCAAAAAGAAAATGCTTCGTATTTTTCGTCTTTATTTTCACTGTGTGTCTGTAATTTTCCCCGATTGTTTGAAGAGAAAAAAAGACGACGTGACGTCTCTTGTGAGCTCTCCTTCGCAATTACTTTTACTATTTGACAAACCTGAACGTCAATACTACTGCTTATTAGAATGTATGAACATTTTAGAAAGCAGCCATATCGCTGTGTGTGTGCGTCGGTAGGTTATGTACTAGCGCCATGCTCGTCATAAAATCACTACACTTTTGTGTTGGTGTATGCGTGTATTTGTGACGTCAATATCTTCATGTTGTGTCAAATACGAAGTTATATGTTTAACTTCGGTTACCTTTGAACATGGTCTTTTGTAACATATATGGATATTCAGGTTTGATTTCAATTGTTTGAAATGTAAAACAGTTTAATTTAGATGTTTTCTTTGTCTCGCTTCGCCGTTTCGATGACTGGAGATAAATAAAGCTGCATTTTTTTTTTTGTTCGTTCAAAAACGATAGGAAACTATACTGCTGGCTCCAAGTGGTGCCATCTCGATGTCACGTTTTTGAACATCAAATAAAAAGTTCGAAGTAGCGCAATTTTCAAAATGCAATTATACACGATTTTTGCACTCAACATTCGTTTGAACACACTTCATTTTCAATTAAAATACTCGCATTTTTGGAGTGAAATTTCATAAATTGGAAGTTTTATTAAATGTTATCTTCTTTTTTTTCACAAATAAAATAAAAAATAATGTGCAAAACGTGCGTTGTACTTGTACAATAAAATATAAACCTCGTATTTAAACTCGTTTGAGAATGAAAACAATAAAAACATACTTTAAAAAAACCCAAAGGTGCGTCTTTACAATCACATCAACCAAATTGAATAGTTGCTATTAGCAGCCTGCTAATTTATATATATATATTCTATTATTTAGACCTTTACTTTTCGCCATTTACGAAGCACTTTCATCTAATTCCATTTCCTAATTACGTTTCAATTTCGATAGATATAATACTGGATTGAATAATGTGTATTTCATATAGAAAAAAAAATCGAATCCCAAAACCGAATGAATAACATTCATTTATATATTTAGAGCCATTTTATTATTATCTCTACAAGCACCTACAAAATCTACCGAATATATCGATACCTCTCTCTCTCTCTTCCTCTTTAAAATTGATCGTTTTGATGGGCTTTGCCACAAAATCTTATTATCTCTTGCGGCATAATAACTGGCGCATATATGTAAAACATCACAACACATTTCTATAAAATTATTGCAATTCGCTGGAATGTTATTGATTGGCAACACCTTGGGCATATTGCAAACCAGTGCAAAGATGCAGCATAATCACACTCAATGCTTGTACACGCTCTTCGGATTGTCCAACCAAAAACGCTTTACCAGCCAATTCATGTTCACTTTCTTTCATTTTCCTAGGTGTCGATTCAGCACTGCTGCTACGTCTGCTGCGGTAATCGGTGGTTAGTGTGCTACTTGCATTGCCAGCTCCAACATTTTTGTTATCAGATATCAAAGCGGTCGCTTCACACGACACTAAATTAGCGTGCGCTTTCGTTTCACTGTCCAATGCTAATTTTAGTTTCGATAACTACAGGCCACCCCCCCAGGAAACGGAAGAGAAAACAAGAAAATTAGAATTTAAATCGAAAAAAGCATATTTTAGTATTACTCACGAGATTGTTTATCACTTGAACACGTTCGTTCGGTTCCAATTCAACGAACAATGTTCGGCTTGCCGTTTTGGCCAAGGCCATCATTTCATCTGGACCGCCCCAACCGCCGATCAGCGGTTCAGTTAGCGAAACGATTTGTTCACGTGTTATATCGTTTATGTGGTTCGGTAGTTGGTCCAATTTCTGTATGACGACCACAAAAGGATTTGTGCTTTGATTAACAAGAGATTGTTTTCTAGTCATCATTTGGAATTAGGATGAAGAAAAAGAAAAAGAATGTTATACCATCAAGAATAAGCGGCCAATTAGCAAATCATTTCGGTTTTGTTTAGTTAGATTGAAGAAATTGAGCATCAGCATTTGGTTGGCAACGTAAAAGAAACAAATTACGAAATTGGCAAAATTACCGTGGAGTGTGCTGTGGGCTTGGCGGTAAACTGCGTGTACCTTGATTCAGAGACGATACAATCGCTGGTATTGCTAAATTGTTGGCTGAATTCACACGTTTGATTCCTTGTGATATCATTTCGCTGAAGCTTTGCCGATGCTGGTCTAACTTTAGCTTTGGCTCTTCGATCTCTTCAAAATCATCGATTTCACCTTCGCCATCCGCATCGGTCACTTTGAACTCCACCGATGAGGCGTGCAAAGAGCTTTGCTGCAATGCAGCCGATGCATCGACTGGGCCGCAGATTGTTGATTGCTGACACTTCGTTATGCACTTTTTGTGGCAATTCATTAGGCAATCACGACACTGAACACCGTCTTTCAGCCAAATTTTACGGCCACAAAAATCACACTGCGTTGTGGATTGGAAATGCTTTCGCTCAAAATTATGCTGACGTGAAACACTCGCATCAACTTTTTCCTCCGTCGTCAGTTTTTCGGCACTTGAGGATAATCTGAAAGAAACGATAAAATAAAAATGGTTAACAGATTCACACATGGATAAGTTAGGACAAACTTACTTCATGGGTTTGGTTTTCTTAATTGAATCAGTATTCGCGGCACCAGTCCAAGAGAACGATATCAAAACATCGCCGAAACAGAGATTCGGATCGAACCCGGACAGCGATGAAAGTGGATGGCTCATCCTGAAACAGGAAAAAAAAGAGACTAGTTTAATGTGGAACAAAGAATAAACAATGATAAAAACAACTCACAAATCAGGTATTTCGGGTGGGTTTAATTTGTATTGTTTGATGAAATGGGCCAACGTTGAATCGCTGCATTCGTAGAGAACATTTTGAATGGGAATATTTAAATATCCAAGTAGAATGGTTTCATCATTGCACCGTCCCAGAACATTTAAATTTAGGTATTGTGATTTTTGGCTTAGTTTGAATTGACATAAATCGTTCATGCTAATGAAACTATTCACTGCACACTCAATTGTCGAATGCATTTCGAAATCATTTTCATTTCCTTCCGATGTTTCCGGTTCACTGCCGTCCCTATCGCCGACAGTGTCACTTTTCGCTTTTGGATTTACTTTAATTGGAGTCGAACACTTCACGGTGTCATCCGATGTTTTTGTGTCGGCATTGCTACGATTGATGCCCCTGTAACGCAATTTAGTCGCAATATCCTCTTTGCTCTTTATCGGTGAATTGGTGGGCGTATTAGATCGACTGGAGTCTGTTGATAATCTATCAATGGAGCTTTGGCGCACATTTTTCGATATTTGCACTGTGTCTGCCGTTTTAGAGAAGCTAATGTTAATATCATTGATCACTTCGTACGACTCTTCGTCCGTATCACCGACCGCAAATGAGTTCATATCACTTTTTATTACTCCGGCCACGATTCGTTCGATTCGCAGAATAAACACCGGCCGATTCAAACTCTTCACAATTTTTGTGATTTGATTGATATTGTTTATCTTTTTGCCTTCAATTGAAACGAGCATATCACCTTTGCACAGTTGTGCCTTCATTGCCGGTGTATTCGGAATGATTGCATCAATCAGAACGGTTTGTTCGATTTGTTTGAAAATGATTCCGATCTGCTGATTCTTGGCCTTATGAATTTCAATGTCGAATGTGCAGAGAACATTTCGATCGTCGTATTGTGAAGCGGTCACAAATGGAATGGTTGCCATGATTAATGTGCAATATACTTGATTCACGTGACAGGGCAGCGATATTCTTGTTAGTTCGGCCACATTTACATCTAGCGTACCATCAAATTGAATTTCAGATAGATCAATATCGTCGTCCAGAGTTGCATTGAAGAATGGTTTGTATCGCAGTTTATAATTAGGCAATGTGTGCTTGCGACGAATGGCCTTTCGAATTTGATTGGAAATTAAACTAGTCACGTTCGATTGAGACATTAGACGCCCTTGAAACTCAGTCTTGATGTCAAGTTCAATGACAGGGTCACCCATAAAACAAAGCGACCAATGTGTATACGGTTTCCTTGTAAAATGCAACCGAGCCAATCCAGACACATGGTTCACTGTGAAAAGTGTGAAAAGAAAATCATCTCATAAAATTTCATTCATTTGATTAGCCAAAGTGCAGTGCAGTGCAGCCATCTCATACCTTTAATGGATAGAAAACCCTTTTTGCCGAGCACCATATCCGCGTCAATTGACAAATGGAAGTTGCCGCGATAGTCTAAATCGAGTAAAAGTTCAACGTTTTCCAGATGGCCTTCGGTGTCGTGCAAGTCTGCATTTAGTACTTTAATATTTCGGATTTCCGGAAATTGTGCGCCCAAGTCCAAGTCACGAATCTGCCATATGAAACAAAGTGTCAACGTGTTGCGCTGATTTATGATCTATATATATAGCACAACATAAAGATAACCATTTCATTTGGTTACTTACGGAAAGTTTTTCAAACAATTTGCCAGTCGTAGTTTTAGTAATAAGTTCGTCCAATTCGAGTGACAATTTACGATGGAACCATTTACGAACTCGATTCGCATTTCGAAGTTCAAAGAACAGGAATTGAAATATTAAATTGAATGCAATGGTTGGATTACGATTTTCCAGTTCGGGCGAATGAATACTACCCAAAATTGCCTGTCAACCGAGAGAGAGAGAGGGAGAAAATCATTAGTGTCTGTGTGTATATATCGATCGAAGGCTTTGACAACAAAAAATATTGCTATGGACGCTTATTATTACACATAGAATCCATGAGAATGAGTCCCACACACTATACCAGTATACTTATGTCAATAAAATATTCAATAGCATTAAACGTGTGATTCATTCTCAGGTTCAAATGGCCTACAAAGCGGCCCATTCATCGTTTCTTCACGGTGTGTTTTTGTTTATTTAGCTACGCGTTTGGATTTGACATGGCACACGAAAAAGGGTAAGGTTGATAGTGAGTTGCGTTAAAACCTAAATATTCTACCCATTTGCTGTTTGCCGCTTGTGCGACATCAGTTCATTACCTGTCTTTTGTGATTTGCTGCACTACCAAAGTTTTGACATCGAAAACGTCAATAAATTAATACTTAAAAAGCCATAGAATGCCATATCGAATGTGTCGAACGCACAACACACGCACAATCGCTCTAGGTATAACTTATCGATTTATTTTGGTTGTTGTTCCATTTTCGCCAAAATTTATCTATATATTTTTAGGCATGGAGACGATATGACTGTGTGTGTTTACTGCTTGTGGGGAAGAGGGTTTAATGGCTCAAATTTTAACGAATGCGCCAGCTATTGCCAAAAATTCATTTGGCGTCACTTTGGTTCCGCCTGCCAACATAAATCATAGATGTTAATGCGTGTTTCGTGTACTTACGTCTGGCAACTGGTATCTCTCGTTCAGTGACCGATTTCGTTGCTGGGCATTTGGGTCATCGTCCGGCTGATTAAAATATTTGATGAAAATGTAGTATTGCACGAGGATCATAAGAACAGCTCCAATGACCAATGAGATCAAGCAAAATAAAAAAATGCTCGTCAAATCCATTACGCTGGCCGAAATGAGAAGAGAAAATTGGCTTATGGTGTAGAAATCTGCGATTGAAATTGACGAAAATCACACGCTCAAAGGATGCGACGTAGTCAATGGCGATGAGTCAAGTGGAAGCAGCCTCATTAGCAGTTAATCCGACCGCAAAACTGATTGCCACAAATCGAAAGTTGCACAAACACAAGAAGCGCCACAAATTTGCCAATTCTTGTGCTGCAAAAACTGTAAAACAAAATGAAACGGAAAATCCGGTTGTAAATTGAACGAGAAATTGTTTTGCACTAATGTACTTCACGGTAGTGATTTAGAATTTCACCATACTTTAAAATGACGTGGGTTTCAGCTTTATCTGATTTGTTATCTCCATTTTGAATAGTGCAACCAGCAAATAAATATTGATAACAAAATTTGGATTGTACTTTAAAACAGATTTTCAACAGCACAACGTACAAACAATATTTATGAGCATAAATCACAAACTAAAAGTGATTTTTGTCTGTCATTGAACGCTATTACACCAATGTTAGTTGTATGAATCTGAACTCCGACTGACTGTCACTTCGCTAGATGATGTTATGATTCGATACGGTAATTTTGCTTGCAATCTTGTCGGTGATTGTTTCTCTTGTGCTCTCTCTCACTCTCTCTCTCTCTCTCTCTCTCTTGTTTGCCAGCGGTAGGGGTTGCATTGATATGAAACTGGAGAGAAAAATCAATAGGGCACTCAATGCGCACGCGTCTCCTTTTTTCTTTCGTTCATTCAAGTGTCAATATTATATTACTCTTTGGACAGACTGCTTTTTCAACGTTTGCAATGATGTTTATGTTCGGTGTGTGCACGTAAAATGCAGACTTTAAGTCACTATATGATTTGAAGGGGAATGAGCTTTGAATGAAGCATTTAACAATGGTTTTTTTCTCCGCATTCTCCTTGCGATTCAAATTACCCTACATATGTGCGCCTCAATTCTGTTTACGAATGAGAAATGGAAATGTTTATTCAAACACAAACTTGTGTATGAAATAATTATGGGTACATGTAATGCTTGCACAGATTGCGGCACTTTCGCATCTTGCGTCTCATTACCGTTGGTCGCTTGATATTTTATGGTATGACAAAGTCGCCGAACATTTGTAAATATCCAATTACTGGCATAAGTTGTTTTATTGTGTCACTTGAAGCACTTGGCGCGACGCCTTTGTGCGTTTTCCAACATTGTTCTCGTACGTGAACTGTTTTGAAAATGCTTTTTTTTTGTTCGAGCGCGTATTTTTAGATGAACATTTTGCCGCTAGCGCATAGTTTAGTTTAATAGTTCAGGATTTGCGTCGAATGTGAAGAGGATACACAGTAAGAGTTCTTCGGACTTGACGAGATAAAAAAAAGTAAAAAATTCAAGATGCTCAACAAAAATCGTTGAACTAAACGACGTCAAGGGGTCAGTGCGTGTTGCGAACGCTAAAAATAGCCAGAAAAAAGAAGAATTATCACAGGGTGTATTCAACTTTTTTTCTGCTCCACTACTTAAAATGAATAACAAATGAACGATGATGAATGACATGATCTCAATTGATGTTTCAATTCAAAATTTTCGCCAAACCAAGCTTTTCACCTTGAATGAGAACAGCGGCAAGCTTATGAATTATTATTGGCATACAGTGACCATTAATTAATTGAGAAACCGAAAAAAAAGGGTAGTGATATGATAAAAAAGCAATGCGCACAAATGTGGAAAGTGAGTTTTTTTCGTTCTCTCTCGCTTGAATCATTTTGCGTCTCGAAACTTTTCCGTCGTCCATTGAAACGACGCACTTTTCTCGTTTTCTTTCTTCTCGAGAAATAGCGGTACTTGTCCTCTGTTTTTGTTTATGATCACAAAAACAGTGACAACAATTCTATCGCATCGACGCATATACGCAGATACAAAAAAAAAACATTCACACATTCTCACGGGAAAAATTGAATGAAACGAAAATAAATGGGATATTCAGGAGCACATGTAATACGTGTGCGACAAATTTGTCACATTGAAAAACGGATACAGCGCACAAATGAGTTATAAATTCACAAAAGTATTTCCGATGGAAATTATATATGCTGACTAACTTACTTTATGTGCTCGTGTGGTGCGGAAAGATAAACTCAGCTACGGAATTTTATAAAGTTTTTCTTACACAAAAACACTTATCACGTGGCTGAAAAGTATACGACTTTCTCGTTTTGCGCCGAAAATGTTTAGATCGTCTAAATGTGCAGAGAGGATAATTCTTTTAAACGACAAAACACACAAAGTGAAAGGACTTTGGACAGTTTTGTGTTGGCCTCAATGTGCAGCATCGCATCTGGATCTATTTTTAATTGTTCGCATGCGAAACCCCTTTGTGTATATAAATTGCGGCTGTATTTTTCCCGATTCTTCGGAATAACGGAATTTGGCGCAACGCAAAAATGTAAGAGAAAATTATGAACGACATTGCAGATATTTGGAAAACAGATGCTATTATTGGGTAAATAATATATATGAACCTTCCCGTTGAGAATATTTAAATATCAATGCAGTGAAGTCACAATGGAAAATTCATTGCCAATCAGCAAATTTACTGTGTTCACGAAAGCTGAAAATGAATTTTACACAAGAACGAATGTTTCGTTTGAACGACTGTTTCATGATCAAGTGAGGAACTAGAAATATTTTTTATCTACATGCTATGAGCAATTCAAATGATATTTTTTGTGATAAAATATTTTTTTTATATCCAGTTCAAGTTGGAGGGAAAGAATTTATCATTCTATCGCATGTTTTGCGAATCGCAAATAGCGATAAGAGTTTGTCGTGAGTCAAAACTTTCACTTAATTAAATCTGAATTGGTTGGCCATTGAATGCGATTCCAATTGCGAGTGAGCACCACTTAATTTTCATATTTGCGCAGAACTTTTGTAATTTTCATTTTCCACGAAAAATCAATGTTCAGAAACTTGCTACGTTAATGTTTCGAAACGTACAAACTTCTCCAATGCGATTCTATTTAGTTTATTTATGTGCACTAAAAAAAAGTTCGAGCGGAAAAAAATGTAAATATTCTCACAGTACTTACCTGATTTATGTTCAGAAGATCATTTTGATTGAATGCGATGTAAAATATCACTCACACACGGATCGATGCAATTGTTTATTTGCAACGTTGTTTCGACAGTGTTTACAAACAATATTCTAAAAAAAGAACTTTAATACAAGAAAAAGCAAATGATTTATATCGAAATTAGTTTTTGCGAAGACAATCGAGTGTGTTTCTTTGTCGTTGTTGTGGCACTCGCTCTCTTGTATTTTTTTTTCTCTTTTCCCAACAAAGAAAGTCAAAATGAGTTGAAAGCATCTGGATACTCTAGTACACACAATCAACATCAGTGCCATGGTTGTGTTGGGCTAGTAAATGAAGCATAAGTGATCATACATATGTGTATATATATAGATGTACCTGTATTTACGATACATCATACATGCATCTGTTGTAATGTGTCAAGTTTTGACATGTGCAAATGTCATTAGGGTCATAAGCAAAGAATCAGGCAATAGAAAGCAGCACATAACCTCAAATCAATCTTGAATTTGAAAAAGCCAAAAAAAAAACAACCATGGACAATTCAATACGGAAATGTAAAGAGAAAGAGAGAAAATTCAATGACTCGTTGAAAAAATGTCTCGCGCAATAAAACAAGAGGGAAAAAAATTGATTAGCATCGTCAGTCAACGCTCGATTGCCATGGTTTTGTAATGCGTTTCAACCAAGCGAATATTCAAAACGTTCATTTTTTTCATCATCTACACTCGACCAAAACGATCAAAATAACACACATGAAATGAACCAACAAACACGCGCAGTCAACTCATACATGTGTGTACAACACACATATACACAGCCATACGCTTTAATCAAAAGCCTATTCCAAACAAGCGCACTGACTGTTTACTGTTTTTGCTCGTGTTTGGAATACACACAAAACAAACTACGCATATATGCGCGTCAATGTTTTCGTTCTGTCTCGCTTGCGCACGTGCATTTCGTGTATGCTTGTTGAGCAGTTTATTGCTCGCTCAAATCGCTGTTTTGTGGATTTTCGTATAAAATCAGCTGTTTCACTGCAGCGTGAAACACTTAAAAAACGGAAGTCTACTAGTTCGTTATAAAAACCAGCTCAGTCTTTTTAAATACTGAAGAAAATTTTCGTGAATATTTATCGATTTTTCTACAGATTTTGATTGAATCGCGTTAAATTTTCGATAATTTAGAAAAAAACACTAATTCTAATCGGAGAATTATTTCGCAATTTTAGTATTTTTCTTGCGAGAAAATTGAAAATTGTTACGAATTTGTGGTGAACAGTGTTGGAAACAAAAAGTGCAAGTGAAACAAAACGCGTTAAATAATTGATTTAAAAAAAATTAACTAAATCAAATTTGTTAGCATTCAAAATTTTTAAACAAGTTAAAAAAACCAAATAAAACAATCAGACAAAATGCCACCAGCAGCATCAAACTTCGGACAAGACATTACAAACACCACCCATGATGGATCGAACGACTTGAATCGCAATCAGCTACAAAACATCGAACGTATGGGAGGAACATTATTGATTCCACGTAAGAAACCTCGATAGTTAAATTGAATCCCAAAATTTAAATACATTTTGACACTACAAATTTGAATGGAACATATTCAATAAACAGGTGTAGCTGGACGCGGTGTGATTAAAGTCGTAAAACGATGTGACGACGCCAAAGAGAACAACGAATTAGGTAAAACATCAATTACACGCAGGCAACTGCTTTGCCTATAGCAAAATCTAACATTATTGACAATAATTATTCTCGTAAATCTCAGCAAACAAGCGATTGTTTCGATATTTCTATGGAATAATTTGTGTCATAATTGCATGTGCTCGAATATGGTTACAGTTTCTAAAAAAAATATTCAATATGTTATTAGTCAGTTTAAGCTTCCATTTCTGGATTATCTGTGTAATTAATGTACAATTTTTGTTTCGCCATTCAACAAAAACACAACAACATACATTTTTTACCTTATAAATGCATTTCGGTTTACGTTCAAAACTGTTGACGATACGATCGCGTCGCATATATCGGAAATGATGAAAGTCATATATGCCATAAATATCAAGCATCGAACGTACGGGCGGATGAAATAAATTTCAGTCTACAATTATAATTAACAATTACGATGGAATAGAATCAAACAAAAGAAGTGAGCAGGTCGTTTATTAGTTTTCATTTTGTATGTTTTTCTTTTGATATGGATACAGTAGCACTCAATTAATTAAAAAAAAAACTCTCATCGATTTGGTGTTTCTTATCCGGAATTTGATCATTTTAACATTTCAATGATGTTCATGACCTTCGTGAAAGATCCGCTGTTATTTACTCTGCGCTCATTCAATTCGAAAAAGAAACGTTTCATTTCACAATCGAATCAAGGTGAATAGTGTCAGATTGCGAATAGGCAAACGCGGACAGATTTTTTTTTTGTTTTCACTTTAGTAAGATCTCGTCGACGAAGTAGGCAATTATATTTCGCAAATTGTGTGTCTTAAATTAGACACATTTTTGAGCTGCAATTGCAACACATTCGTTGCGTTTACACGACAAAAAAAAAAACAAAGGAATCAGACAGAACAATGCTCTTTGTTCTATGAAATCGAATTTTTGCGGCAACGACGAAAAACACAAACCTGAAATTTCTTGCGCATTTAAATAATGTCGTATGTCGCACACGGCAAATATATTCTACCAGCCCTTACTGTTGTGGATAATAGCACTCAGAATAAATGAACTTGATTCTCAACGTCTATTTGAAAAACCATGAGCCGTTGAAAATTGCGTCTTAAATTTACATGTGATTCTATAAATAGCGTACGATTTGAAAATAAAGCGCGGTGTAGAAGAGCAAACAGAGAAGAAATGAAAGAAAAAAAAATCGGCAAACAAAAATCCACGTATCGATGGTCTGGTACCAACACTCGGCGCAAAAAAAAAAAATCAATGTCTGGCATTTGTAGGTTCATGAATTCTCGGCTAATACTACAAAAAGAGTGATAAATTCATGGTGCGTTCAAGCATGTTATGTTATTAAACCGCATGCATGCATTCATTCCATTTCGATTATAGCGTCGAGGTGAATCATATGTTCTCACTGGCCCGAGCCTTTTGTTGTTGAATAAGCGCTTGTCTATTGCATGATTTAACGTTAGTCACACACACACACACACACACACACACACACACACACACACACACACATTTGTGGAGTGCAATGTGCGATTTGGTTCAACATCGCACATCTATTATGTATGGCCTTAATAAATTATTATACAGCAGTGTCGATTGAATTGACAATCGGACCACTGGTGTATAAACGAGCGCACACACACGAAACCAAAACGAGCTGCAGAACAAATATTGGAAAATTTACGAAATGGAAAGCAAAAGCTGTCACAGTTCATATTACGCTCAATTTGTTGTTTGGGATTGTGCGTTTTTTTCTCTCTTTCATTTTCAATAAATGAGCTTTACGTCAGACGCGATCGTTCGTATAGTTAAAATGCGCCTTTTATTTGTTTCAATAGCTCACAATGTATAATTTCGATTCGTGTTAAATTTTTATACATTTATGAGAGAGATATTCATTGGCGCTTCGCTTTTTTTGTTGATGATTTCTGTTTTTGTTTCAGCTCATACTAATTGCGCTGCGTACATCTTTTTTCACAGTACATATACACATAACATTTTGTAACAAAGCCAATTCAATGGCTTTGAAATTCAAATCGATTGGTGTGATGCGTGCACTAGTAACAATAATGTTTTCTTTTTCTTCTGCATCGCCCTTAAATTGTAAACACAATAAAAAAAAAGTTCAGATTTTAATTTTCGGTGCATTTTCTGCGAATGTTAAATTAATCTTTAGCTCATCACCAAAAACGAGACAAGATTATTGTTAGTATTAATGCAATGCATGTGTTTCATTCGATAATCACTGTGATTAATTATTTAATCGATGCCCCATATCGATTTCCATTCCATTGGATTCTCTTATTATGCAAGCTCGTTTCCAGTTGGTTGTTTGTTTGTTTTATTCGTTGTGTATACGAATGTTTTTTCTCTCTCTCTGTCTCGCATACTTCTCACTGGAACACCGAACAGGTGAACAAACGAGAAGTGAATGCATGATAAATATTGAAACAGAGTTCACGTCCAATTACCTCCGTACACGTTCTTTTGTTTATTGTTTATCGAAGATAAATACATGAGCCCCATATTACATGTTCTTTCTTAATCGACAGATTTCATACGAAAAACAATAGCATTCATATCTCTTCCGAATATTAAATTGTCGGATCGAAACATGTGACGTTTTCGGGAGAAAAGAACTCTTCGCGTAAAAATCGGATTTTCATGTTTCTTTTCAATGATTTCATTTTACGAGAGCAAATGAATAAAATTGCATTCGCATGTGCATCTGAACAAAGAAGAGAGTCACATATGCACGGTCATCGCGCTGACTCTTGTGCTGTTTATTTGACATTAATTGCCCCCGACATTTATGGAATGTTCGCAGTGTAAATGTGGAAAAGTCATTTGAGTTTAAGGAACCGCGCAGTTTGAGTCAGATATTTTGTGTTTTTGCCTCTTGCCACGCGTATTCCATAACGTCGTTGTTTTTCCCATTTTCCTGTGTGGCTGCCGTGAAATTTTCCATTTTGCGTCGTACATTTGTTCATTTCGGTTGATTCATAATGTTTCAGACTACGTATCACTTCTACGTATTCATGTGGACTTTTAATTGCAGCAGAGAGTTCAATGTGTTTTTTAAACGATGACTTGTTTTCTGCGCTGCTTTTCATCTCAAACCAGCCAGCCAGCCCGCTAGCCAATCATTTCAGTTGGACAAGAGCCAATTAGTGGAATAAAACAACGACACGTTTTTTGTTTTTTGTTTCCAACGAACAAAAGTCACATGCGATGCGAACGATCTGTTATGTGGAAAATTTTAGCTTTTCTAATTTGTTTTGATTGCGTCTCAAACGAAATTTGGTCAAAAATTTTCAATCATTCGCACCAATATTGTGGTATTTATGGCTATGTCGATTTTCCAAAAGCCTTTGTCGCGTGACAAAAATAGTTCATATGCGCATTGCGAAATTTGAATTTCCCATTGGGTCATTATGAAAATTCCGTCTAATTGCCTTTTTACTTTCGATGTGAATTTTTCGATTTTACATTGAAGCGAACAAAAGAGCATCCTTGAGCCGGTGCCGTTACGATACGGCGTGCGCGCTTCGATTTCAAGGAAATTGCTTATCAGTTGACCACTTCCATTCAACACCGTGATCTCCCATCGCAGTATTCAACAATGCACCACTAGATAGTAATGAGAAGAAGTAGAAACAAAACCCCGGCTCCACTTTTCGATGACTGCAGTCAACCAAAAAACGCTTTTTAATTGAATAATCGGTGAATCGATATTGAAAACATCGACACAGTGTTCCATGCATACTATTTGCACAACGAATAAAAACGGAATTTAAATCAAAGTTAAACAAAAGAGAAATAAAACAACAACACCATGTTGGCCGGAGAACCAGCAACGAATTATGGAAATTTTGTTTACATGCATGTTCATGTCGGGTTTTTTTTGTGTGTTCGCTTTTCTTTTCTCTATTTTGGTTCGCAGTGCATGTTTTTCATTCGTTTGTTTCGCAAACTATTACACTCATAAATCCAAAGACGTACAAAACAAAGAGCAAATTGTGAAATTTCATCGATGCATATCCTATAAATCCGTTCTTGTTTTATGTTTAATTTTCATTGCACACAAAGTTCCCCAAGTGCGCTAGTTTACTGCGATGAATATAAGACCATACAAGATATCTGATTGCTCGCATTACGCATTTTCTGTGAATATAATTATAGATGATTAAAATTCGTTTTGGTTGACCTTCACTTTCTCCGTGACGCCGTATCTCGCAAGCGAACATTTCTATTATCAGCGTATCCAATTTTAGGGTCGAAAACAACCGAAACATGGTGCAATTTATGTAATATACATGTACATATGTATATCTATGTTATGCGTAGAATCTGCCGTTCTGAATCATTGATTCTAACTCATCGCAATTGTTGCACGTCACATTCAGAAAGAAAGAAAAAGGAAAGTATTAAAATCTACCGATGACGGTAAGCCTTACCATCTCACACATGAAGTTGAAGGAGAATTAATCCCTTTCTATGCCACCAGCACACGTCTGAGATTCATTAATCATTCTGCTTTGGATCGGATTTACGGCGAAAAATCTGGAGCAAAATTTACCCGCCGACACGCATCCGTTGTCTGTGATAAATGATCTAGCAAGCACGTATTGCACGGTATCAACATAAGTGCATTATCCGTAACTGATTTCTACTTCGCGAGAATGAACATTTTGGGCTCATTTAAGATTAAAAAGTTTTCCAATTAGTTTTTTCCATTCAACACATTTTGTCCTGAGCCAAGGTCATGCATATGTTTGAAGCTATTTAAACGGCGTACACAATTTAAAAATTCAATTGATTTATGTTTGATGCTGTACGTTCACACCTGAAGCTATTTTTTGTTGACGTTTCCGCATTGAATATATACCAAATTGTCTGTCTCTTTAAATTCACGTCGCTGTGTGACGACGTCGACTGCAGGCGCGATGTATGACGAACACGTGGAGCATGTGCGCACACAACATCGCTCGCCAAATGCGTCGTCCGTAAGCGGTGCGCGTGAGATAAATAAACAATAAAGCTTATTCCAATGCTAGAGCATTGCAATCTGAAAATACGTAAAAAGACTTTATTTTGTTGAATCCAACGATTTAACATTGATTCTGTTTTTTCTCTTCGATTTCAAAATTAAACGCAGTGAATTGGATAAATTTGTTTTTGCCATTTCAATGAAGTTGAAAAAAAAGTGGATTTATTTTTGGCGCTCTTCGTCTCTGCAGAAAATGACACATCGAATGAAGAGAGTGAGAAGAGAGAAAAAAAAACGTAATACGTAAATACTGACTTTTTGACATTTGCTGACTAAGAATTTTGAGACAAGAAAAACCAAACAGCAATGAAGTCACACTACTCAGAATATTCTGTGATTTGATTTTCATGTGTGTTTTCTTTCGAATTGACGTCTGGTGATCGGATTGTCTGTTGATTGATATTCTTTCGTGATTTTTTGTCACTTGGCATCGGAAAATGGCCTAACATTTACGGTTTTAAGTGTAAATATTCCACAGTGTGAATGTTTTTTCGTTGTTGTTCTGTGTGACGACAATGATGATATGATCACACAGCAGCGGCAGCGTGACTCGAACTTATTTTTAGCCATTTTGCGCGTGTTCAAAGGAAAATCTGTAGAAAAATAAGAGAAAAAAAAAACTTAATGATTTTCTGGGAAAATCGAGATCTATCTTTGACAGTTTCTTTTTCTTTCATCGCTTCGAACACAATTTTTGTTGCGCACTTTACACTCAATTGAATATCCATCTATCAAATTCCATAATTTGACTTAAATTTCTACCATTTCCCAGCAAGTGGATCACATTTTAAATCGCCAACGAAAAACCCAATATAATTATAAAATAAAAAGGAAATTCAATTTTTGCTTTAATTTATGTGCATTTATTTTTGGCGAAATGGCTAATCAAGTGGTTCAAGTTGTAGTACGTTGTGAAACGGCCTCTGAAACCGCACATCTGGGTAATAATAATTCATTTTCAGACCCACAAAAATTGTGTGCAAAATCCATTGATTTTGAACACACATAATTTAATTGGTATTTGTTTTTGGCATGCAATTTTATTTGTTTTATTGGTGAGCGCGCGCGCGCAAGCATTTGTACGGTGTATTTTTCCGTTCAAGTCTTCAGACCATTATTGTTATACAAAATAATAAGTGCATAACGGTCGACAGACTTGTCGAGTCAAACAAATGCAATGCGGCGCGATGACTGTGCTTGTGAAATTGCGTGAAGCAGCAGCTTAGAATTGAAATGATTATGTGATCTAGTATATAGAGTGCCGTCAACATAATGAATTATGAGTTATTATAGAGTGCATGCACATCATTCATTGCATAACCGTTTAAACAAAAGCTCATCGTATACATTTATTCATTTTTCCCGGTGCTATTTTCGACATTTATTTTACTTAACAGCTGTTTTTAATTGTCGGCTTAGATTATAGAGACTTTTTAGAGTTTTCATTATTCGAATTATGTAAAATGAAGAAAAAAGACTAGACAGACTGATGATAATGCGCAAAATCTACGTGTTCATAGAGAGAATAATTTGTGAACAATTAGCCATTTCTCTAAATTATTTTATTTTGATTTATATTTTGGTTTTTTTTTTCTTTGCAGATCTCTCCGAGTGCCAACTAGTACAAGTACCAGATGCAGTTTATCATTTGATGCGAAATACTGAATTGAAAACATGTGACTTGAGCTCAAATGTCATCAAGAAAATACCGCCAAAATTTGCCATGAAATTCAGTTTGATTACAGGTAATTCAAGATGAAATACGAAAAATATCATGTGCCATAAATAATAGCTAGCAATACTGAGTGTATGGAATTGTTGTTATTATTGTAGATTTGAATTTGAGTTTGAATCAACTTAATAAATTGCCGGATGAATTGGCGGATTTAACGCAATTGTTGCGGTTGGATATTTCACACAATTTGTTCTTGTCATTGCCAAAGGTCGTGTTCAAAATGCCCAAACTTCGACAACTTAAAGCCAACAACAATGCAATAATCGGTGAGTGAATATCGAACCTATAAATCATTATCGAATGAGTGTCCAGCATTGAAAGAGAATGGAAAAATTAATTTGGTTTGTGTTCTTATTTTTCTTCCTTTTTCCCAAACAGATGTGGAAAATGACGAAATCATCGCATCGGATTCACTTGAATTGGTCGATCTCCGAAAGAATCCATTGACACCGCAGTGCTTGGATCGGCTACGCAACGCTCGTGTATCATTTCATATTGAATTGCCGGAACGTATCAAAGAAGATTGGGAGGATTTAGATGTTTAAGTTCGATAGACCAAGATTTGTTGCAACTTCGATACATTGAATCCCATTGGATTTTCTATAATGTAGTAAACGTTGATCGTTTTTATTAGACATTTTTCGATATGATATGTGATGATTTTTACAAGCAAAACACGTTTAGCGTTTAGGTTGCAAATGCATCATTAGGTTAATAATAAGACAACATGATAAGCTTCTATTCGCATAAATGATAATCGGGTGCATTAAGAGAGTGAGACACAATTCGTTAAATCCAATTCGTTTCATATTAATTGTGATTGTCCATCAACTTGTCATTTGTTTTTTGTTTTTTATTTCTCGCTCTGCCAAGTATTTAGTACATTATTGTGCGTCTCTCGTTTACATTTTTCTTTGCAAGAGTGATTTAAGAGTTGTCGTCTACGATTAAATCTCGATTGCTATTGTATTTTATGAGTATAGTGCGAGTTATTTTAGAATGATGGAATCTCTTGTCCGAATTACTGATTCCATCCATGTGAGGCTATTTTCAGTCAAGTCAATCAAATCAATCTACTTACCTCAGTGAGGTCAGCACAACGAAACTGATTGATTTTATGAAGAAAAAAAATAATAGATTAAGTGCTGAAATACTCAATTCAAAGCAAAGACTGTTTGACATCAAGCCGATTATTTACGCATATTTTGTTTCTAACCTTATCCTTCTGTAAATCGTTGTTTGAGATGCTATGTTTTTTTTTTTAAAGAATAACAACACGTTTTTTTTACTTTTACGCAGTGATTAATGAAATGAAAATTGATAAATTAAGAGTGATATTGAAAGTGTATAATAACGAAAATTTTGAGACACACCAATTTGAATGAACAAAAAATTGATAGATAAGTTCGATTTATTGTAGTATTTATCTTTTTATTTTACCATTTTGTTGTAGTTCTTACCAAATTTTTTCTTTCTGTTGACATCTAAATTATTTGTACCAAATCGATAAATTTTCGTATAAACCTGTATCACAAATCTGTGCTCTGCCAATTTTGAATAAATAAAAAAACCAAATGGAACTACACGAAAAAAAATAGCCGTTTCTTTTGCCAAATAAAAGCCAAAATCGTTTGTGGACACTTTGAAACATTTTATTTACAACAAACACTTAATTATTTTGAAACATTAATTCAAACGCCATCATCATCATCATTATCATCACATACAATGCTTAAGCGATACATTTTGATTTTGACTTATGTCACTTATAATCGAATATATATAGATTAAATTCTCTCCTAGATATTAACGTCAATTTAAATCAATCTTTTACTTTTGTATTAGTACAGTAATGGGTGAGAGCTTAACATATCAATAGTCGGAGCTCTAGACTAACTGCTACATAAAATTGTTTTTTTTTCTTCATTTGGTTGTTTGAAATGCTGTGTGACATAATAACATATAGATAAATATGATAACTTCTGATTGTTTGGTTTTTCATTTGCAATGTTTCACCATTTTAAAATCACCATTTGTAGGTTTCCTTCGAAATTAGTATTGTTTTTTTTTTGTTATTCTTGTTATATCAATCAATGTATATGTACAAAATTGTGTTGTTTATAAATAGAAACATTTTGGATTAGTTTAATCCCAATTCATATGACCCGCTTCAATCCGAATCGCCAATTACAATGTAATAAAAAAGTGTTTTTTTTTTTGCTCCTGTCTGTTCTGCATTCGTATAAAAAAATACTCATGATATTCTTTTGTTGTGTGTAAATTTCGTCAATTCATATTTTTTTCAATCAATGACGTGCTCAAATCAAATTGATCGCTAGAAGCCTCTCCGTGCTAATTAAATTGATGAAAATAACGATAAATTCGTGCAATTTGTGGAGAGTTTTTGTAGATTACTTCGAAGTTTTCTCATATCACAAGGCTCTACCTCTTCCGTGGCCACACCATTGGTGGCCGTGGTCACGGCAGCGGCACCAGCTTCATCAACATGTTCACTGTCAAGTGATTCAAATCCATCTTCTTCAATTTTCCTCGGTGGTATTTTAACCGAAACTTTCGGTGTCGAATTGTGAATATGGTAATGCGAATGCGTACCTGTCAAATTGAATAATGGTATGCGGAAAATACGCAAAGGCTTTGGCTTCTCAGCTGTCTGACACGGTTCAGCATTCGACGTGGCAAATTGAATTAATTTATTATTGTTTGGAGATTTCAATAGACGAATTTTTGTCGGAGAATTCGGACTGTGCGAAGAGGAGTTGACTTTGGGTGAGTTTGGCGGAACCGATGGTTCGCAACTATTCTTTGTAGAAAGTGATAGGTCCGATTTATTATTTGCCGTACATGATTCACCACACGAATTACTTTTCGATATCAATCGTTTTGATTCGTCGGCCAAGTTTTTCTCCTTTGGTTTCTGCAGAGATCGAGCCCGTTGGATGCATGGTGATTGATCGTTTCGTGGCAACGGCAAAAATTTACTGAAATTATCGTCACTATTGATGTGCATTGTCGGTTCGAATTTATCCACTGGCTGTGCAATCAGTTTGGATGGTGATTGCATACATTTCTCGGTGCATTCAAATCGCTGTTGTGCTTCGATTTTATCAATTTTATGTCGAATCTCAAGGATGCGTTCATTGGAGAATTCATTGATTCGACTAGGACGTCGGCTTGCGGTAGACTCTTGAATTTGCTCATTTTCCAAGCAACCAATGCGAAAATCCTTTGGAGCGAAAAAAATCGGAGCTGTGGTCGCAAAGTAAATGTCACGCTTGCTCGAAATGAGTTGTAGTTCCGGCATTGTAGCCGTATGGACAAGACTGCCATTCACCAGCAATCGAATCTCGATTGAATCGGGCGTGAATGCGATTATGTAGGGAAAAGCGCAAACAATTGACGTTGGCGATGTGTTCCAATGAAAATCAAATTCGTTGGTTTTGTTCTCATCGGAGATCTTCTGAAAATGACAAGTGTCTGGAAATAGAATAACAAATGTGCACATCAAATATCAAATGAGTGAGTGTGTATGAGTGTGTATGGTCAAACTTCGGAAATTAATCATGACTTACGGTTGTAACAGAGCAGAAGCTCCGTTTCGTGTCCATCGCACAAGTCGACAGCAGTAACCAATTGGGATTGTGACCGTTTGGATGATTCTATATCGTGAAGGCGAGTACACTGACCCGTTTGCTCACACACAACTTCAAAATGATGTCTGCAAACCGAACAACACGAATCGAGTTAAGAAACTTTTTTAATATACGCACCAAATGTTACAACACTCACTTGTAGCCAACACACATAAGAAGTCCCGTACTAGCCGAAGTTGGTGTATCCAAAATTGTTATTATACTAGGACAATCATGTAGTGTGATTTCCTTCAAGTAGAAAACAAATGATTTCAATTAGTTTTTCATTCAGTCAAAGTGTCACTGCATTGAATTGGAATGAAACACAAAACCATTGATGTTAGCTAAGTTCCTCTTATTGCCTACGATGTATGTACTTACTTTCTGGTATAAGAAACCGTCTGCCGTTTCCATATCATTACTCGATGAACACCAGCTCGTCCAAGCGGCTGTGTATTTCCACTGAAAAGTCAACATCTTTCTACCAATCGCAACGACCATTCTCAAGTGACCGTCGCCTCCCTTTGAAATAGCATACAGATGACATCCTCGGGTTTTTTCCACACGCCGATCTTTTACATCTATCCGAGATCTAATTTTTATTGTTTCCTCTTTAAATTCTCTGATGCGAAACACATGAATGCGATGGCCATCTTTATTAGTTGCACTTCCGCCCCGAATCAATACGATACCATGGTCCTCAACAACGCTCATTTGCCGCACACAAAACGATTTATCAAAAATCGTTTGATAGCTTTGGTCTTCACGAATAAGAAATGTCCCTTCATCACAAGCCAACACCAAGGTGTCATGGCCAATTGAATCGCCAATCATATTTCCACGGTATGGAAAAGCTGCATAAAAACATTGTGGTTCCCATGGGCTTCGTTTGAACACCGAACCCGGTCCAGTCGAAGCCAAACTGGTCGGTGCATCACCGCGAACAATGGCTTCCAATTTTAATGCTTGTCCAATGCGAACGAATTCCACTTGCCGGGCATCCTCCTTCAATTTGGATGTACGTGGGGCGTCATACAACACCTCTGAAAACGCACGTCGATTCAACATATTCTATATTGGATTTGCAGTGTTCGAAGAAAAATAAATGCCATGAATGCGATGCCCGAATATCAATCGATTGCCGATGGTAATTAAAATGAAGTGAGTCAACTTACCGTCTTTGTATCGTGTGCATATTCTTCGTACAAGTCTTTGATTAACATTTCTAGCGTGCGTTCACGTTTCCGGCTGAACGTGGGTGTTTGAAAGGTCGCCTTTTCTCCATTGATTAACTTTACGAGTAGGAATTCTCTAAATGCAGCAACATCCTGACGAAAGCATGTGGAGAAAAACAAGAAAAAAAAAATACACGGCGATATAGTTATATATAATTCACACATAACAAGTGCACATAACATGTATCGCATGTTATTTAAGATGGCTTAAACTTGGATCTCGTTGGATTTTGATGCGTTTCCATTCGAATAAACTTCTGAGCCGACACGGCTAATAGTGTGTCTATTTTCGGTTTTAATATGTGCAAAAAAAGTTGTATTTTTACCTGAAAATCTGGTGGATTTGGTAGTGTTGGTCCGAAGGCAGGCACGCTTTCATCACAAAACACCGACAACCGATAGATACCATTCTGCTTCATAACCACCGCAAAAATATCTATTGCATATCGACTCGATTAAGGAAAATTGTATTTTTTTTGCACACAGAATTTATGTTATATTTCTTGGGTTATCTTCGGTTGCTCCAAAAAGAAAAAGAAAACTGTAAGTAAACACTTGATTTTTTTTCTCTATTTAGATACAAAGTGAACGTAAATTCATCTGGGATTCTGGGATGTGTGTGTGTGTGTGTTACGACCCATTGGCTGTTTCATAAATATACGGAATTCGTATACGCACAAGCAAATTTTAATTATGTTCATTCAAAAACGAAATTGGTTTTTCTGTCGCTTTTAGCTGCATTGTTGTTGTTATAAGAAAGCCATCAAAACGGTCTGTTAGCATCGTCAGATGTAGCTTAAAGTAATAGGTTTTCATCTTTTTTTTCTTCTTTTTTCGGTTACAAAAAATTGGATCTACCTTCAATGTGGTGGCAGCAGAAGGAAACGTTTAGACACACCAAAAAAAAAGTCACATCGGAACAAAATGAGACGAAATGTGACAACAGGATACTCGTCTCTAGTTTTATAGCTTAATTCAGTGATTTTCTTTGCTTTCACATTGACTTTTTTCCTTGCGTTCACGAACGAAAAAAATTCAATTATACTTTTATTGCATGGCAACGAAGCAAAATATATGTAAAAGAATGCTCAGGTAAAGAACATTTTCGGCTACAAAATTTGATTCATATCAAACTGACGTAGGTATTTTTCAAGTGACAAAAACAACGAAGATGTCCTTCCCATTCCTTTGTGTCTTTCTTCTTCCAAAACGGTTAAATGAAATGTTGCCAAGCGTCGGAAGAGCATCGCTTTAATTGGAAATTGATGTGGAACAAAGTAAGGGGAAAAATGTTTTGATTAAATGAACTTTTAACATAAACATGTTTGAATTAAATTAAAGGAATTCGACAGAACAGAAACGTGCCGTCAATCAAATTGGAGAAAAAGACAGGAGGAGAAATCCCAATGTAATTAATTCAAGTTGGATCAGAACGCAGTTAAGACAGAACAAAAAACATTCATTTCAATAAAGAATAAACAACCCATCATGACGCCGCATCTGAAACAAAGAGCACAGACAATGGAATCAATTGAAAAGGATACGTGTAAATTGGCTTTTGATGCAATTTGGTGAGAAGTCGCAGCTGTCATCACCATCTATAAAAATAATGTTCACAATGTCATTGCCAATGTGACGTTTTCTCTCGACCTGCAAAAGAAAGAAAAAACAAATTGGAGAAAGTGGATATAAAAGAGATGAACTTATACATTCATTCGTTCATTCAAAATGCATAAAATTGTAGAAAAAGGTATATAATTAAAATGTCAAAAAGAACATATAAAACATGGTTGGCTGAATTGCGCTTGGGTACAAAAAGCGTCTGCAAAAGCATTTCAAATTAGTTTATAAAGAGAGAGATATGTGCTGGTTCTGCTGTTCTGGGAATAAAGTCATTTGTATCGAATCAAATGGAGTAATATTTCTGTGCACCTTTTTTTTCTTATTTCTCTCGCGCATTTAACTTTACCTTTCTGAATGCATGTGTTTCGGTGTTCTGAATGTTATAGAGAATATAATGCGATCCAGAAATCAAATGCATGGCAAATTTGTTCTTGCTTATCTTCTTCTTCTTCATTTTTATTCGTTGTGCTTATTCGGGGATTTAATATTCAGCTCAGGGTGATATTGATTTTACATCATGCGACATACGACCCCGTAATTTGCATATCAATTTATATGTTGCGAAATTAGATTGAAACAGATTATCATTTCAAGTGAAAAGAACATGGTGCAAATGTTTTGAAAAGAAGATTCGCTTTTGGCTGTCTCAATCAGCTCCAAACAATAATAATCAAACACCGAACGCCGAAAAAAAAATGTTTTCATAATGTGTTTTGTATGTAAATTTTGATCCAGAAGAAAGAATAGCATTTCCATTCAAAAAGTAATGTTTTTCTTTTACATTCAAATTGGCCTTGGTTCGATATTATAAAAAAACATTGAATTAATTCTGAAATTATACCGCAAAAAATATTGTAGGAAAAATGGTTTACCAAACCAGCAAAGGAATATTGTATATATATATATTGATAATGTACCAAAAAAAACGCAAACACACACACACCTGCTGTCGATTATCTCGGGAAAATGGTAGTAGCGTTGAGCAATGAAACATGATTTCGTGGCCTTCGTACAGCGTATAAATTGAATATTTTCCTGTCATATCGCCTGAAAAATGAATAACAATGGATATTATTAACAACAGTTACAATATGACAAAGAATATAGGCTTTGCAGAAGAAAAAAACTTCGGAACAATGATAAACGTGTTACTTAATTGCTGTGCAATATAAAAAATATTAAAAGATGAAAGTAACATCCTGTATGCGTTGAAAATGGGCCAAGATATGGAAAAGCAAGAATACCAACAAAAAATGTTACAATTTTATTTAAAAATGAAGAAGTCGAAGCCAATTTCCGATGAAAATAGAAGAGCAGAAAAAAAAGGAATTATCTTACCTTTCACATCTAAGCCACCACGAAAGCGTTCCCATCCTCTCAATCGAATTTTCTCTCCTAATATGCTCAAGAATTCTTCAAAACTTTCGCTTCCGAATTCTACGTGCGTGTCGTGTATATGTGATTTGGTACACATGTTGTTATGTCGGCGCGATGATGCATAGTGACAGGCCCGTACACACGCAGTCAGAATCCGACCGGAAAACAAAGCGTCATTTGTAACCAGCATTCAATGTTTCCAGTCGCAGGAAATGTTCAACCACCGTAGGAGTAATAAGACGAAAGATGAAAATGAAGACATGCACATCCGATGAAATATTGAGGCCGGATGAATGATGATGGTGTATGCGTATGGTCGCAACAAATTGCGAGCAAAATGTGGACGAGAAGAAAAAAATATGTGTTAGATTTATAATAATTTTTTTTTTCGATTTCAACCGAGTTGCAATAAACGGTTACTTTTCGCATGTCCAAAACTTGGGAATTCTTTTTGTTGTTGTTGTTAAGCTCTTGGTAAATACATCGTTGATAAAACGGATAAGATGATCATCCATTAATTATAAATATGTGTTTTTTTATAACTGTGAGTTTTTGTGGTAGTGCGACTACACGGGCAAAACGTTTTGCGCGCAGACACGTCATCATTTATAAATTATCATAAATCATTTTATCACAATCGTTGTGTTGTGTATGGCCCAAACAAGCTCCACTTTCACACAATGTATTTTAAATGAATTGAAACGATGTAGAAGAAGGTGGAAGATAAGCTGCGATTATTTTGTCAACGGTCGCGATGACGATAAGTGTCTGAAACGCAAATAATGAGCTGTTGACGTTGGAACTGGCACAGTTTGCTGTAAATATATAAGATGATCGAATGCCGGCATTTACCGCACAAAATATAAATAATTAAATGATGCCGAGAGATTTTCCATTTTTTTTTTCTCAATTATTTAAATCCAATTTTGCGTTACAGTGATTGAGCAAATTCCTTTTAATTAATCCTGATGAAGATTGCAGGATGGCTTGTAGCCATTTCACGATGTAGTCGGTGTTTGAAAAAGCGCAATGAAACAAAAAGTGAACCGTGCACACAACACAATCCGTCAATGTCTTTATTCGCATGCCCGCGACAGAGAGACGAACGTAAATTGATGGCTTCAGTTCAGTTGTTCATTATATAAAAGGATCCACCACTTGAGAAACGCTTCAGGCAATAATTGAGTCAAAAATTAGCGAACGTACCGTTACTCAGCATCTCGTCATCACACTTTTGGCCCGCTTTCATATAGACCACACCAAATTTAAAGTTGACTGATCCCTCTTGCTCCTCCAGTAGCAATAAATCTTTCTGTATGTCCGGCGAAAAGATCTCTTTTGGTGTTTTGGTAGCATCCATCGACGAGAAATGCGATAGCATTTGTTTGACGGTGGGCTTTTGATTTGGATGAAGAGTGAGCGATATCTTTTGAGCTCCCTGCAAAAAATAAACAAACAAATAAACAACCGGAAAAAAAGTTTCGTCAAACAAACGTTGTTATTAGTTGGGCAGAACGATAGGAAGAACTCGTGTCGAATTTAATGTAACAAACTGTTTGAACTTTTTCTCCCCTTGGGTTGGTATATGCATCGGCGAAAAATAACTTTATCAAGACATTTTTCGACTTATGCCCATTGAATTATGCATGTGTAGTGTATGTAATGCTCGCATAACGAACCATCAGCCTCAAGCTGAATTATTATATTTCTTTCATGACGTAGATTTATTTTATGCTGAATCGCAAACGATGAGGCAAAATGCGCGAGTACAAACCAGTGTCGACTGGTTTTTTTTTTTTTTTTTTTGAGCTACGAATGCAAAAAGTCTCGAAATGTTATTTCTGCGCCGGGAATTTTAAAATCGAATAAACAATTGAATTTATTGAAGTGAAAGAAGAATATCCAATAATATCACACTGAACAGAAGCTCGCATAAGTTTGAATGAAATAATGTTTGTCCATCAGTGGGAAAAAAGGTCTAGATTTTATTATTATTAGAATTTAACATCAATGGCATCCTCTTTTTACCACTAAACACGTCTTTTTCTAACGTCCATCAATCCATTCAAAGCGATTGTCTCGGAAATTTGTATACATTTATGGTGTAGTCACCGGTGTAGTACAAAAGCTCAGTCTACAAGCCAATTCTCGCTGCCGTTTTCGAAAATCCCAAAGCGAATCAATGGTGTGCGGTTTTTGTTTACAAAAGAACCTGTAGCCCAGGTTGGCAGACAAGATAATATTTGAAGCACGTATTTCGAATAATCAATGCAATAAAACACTTTTCACTTTCCACTTTGTTAACTGTTTATAATGGCATTTTCAATGTACTTTGAATGTCAGCCGATAAGTATGTTTTCTTTTTTCGTTTCCACTCTTATGAATCGATGCGAAACGAGCTCTTTTCACGTATTCGTGCTGCTCCAGGCAATTTCACTTTCACTCAATATTTTTTTTTTTGGAAGTTTTCGTGGCGTTACCACCGAGTAACACTGACAATATAGAACAAAAACGCCAAACCATTCCAATTGTATAAATTGATGGCCGAAAATGGCTGGTGTTGCGGTTTGTTTTGACAGAATAATGTTTTTGATCAAGATAAACAAGCGAAGAAACGTGAACTCAAGGGAAATGCTGGATTTCCTCTTTTTCTCGAATCGGAAATTTTATTTTTGCATGTGATATCCGTGCAACGACCTTACGGTTATTGCGTTCTCTTGACGCATACCAAAATCCATTTGCGAGGAATGAAATAAAATTTCGAAAAGGCGGTTGAGCGTTAACTAGAATGTAAATTGTTCTTTCTTTTTTCTACGGATTTATTATTTTCATATTCAATTCACTGCATACATTTTCCACAGACGTGAATGAGTTAATTGACGTGGGTGAGTTTCTATTGTGAAGCACTTCCACATTTAAATTCAATTTAATGTCGTCGTCAATGTGATACTTGGAATGGAGTCCTTGTTACGGGCAGTTAAGACATGCATAAATTGCTTTCTCTGCTATCCATTCTACCCATTATCCGTAAGAAACATTAGGAGCAAAAATAGTGTATGCCATAACCAGCCGGATTACGATAGCAATGACGTTATACGGAATGCATGTATAGCATGAACTGGTGCAACATACTTAGATTACATATGTGGTGATCGTGCTCATGTGTGTGCGTGTGTGGTCGTAGCAAATTAGATCCTCATGGAATAATCAACCGTTTGATAGATAGCTAGGTGCCTGGGGGAGTTTTCCTAATTAACATTTCAATGAATCCGAACCACTTCCATTTATTTTGTCTGTGTGATTTTGGCACTCATTTTCATCAATTGAGAATGAAAACAAAAGCGTCTCTTGAAATTGTAAAAGTATGCTCTCAACTGCTGCATAAACATTTCAAAACATTGGCATTGAGCAAGGAAAAACCTGAGATCAATCAATGTGAGGAAAAAACATCTCCATTTCTATTTCCCGCAAAAACTGGGCTGGTATTTTGATTTCCATTTCCATTTCGGTTTCTATTTGGCAAAATTATTCGCTCTGATAAATAGCGAAAAGGAAATTTAAAAAAAAAACCATACCTCAAACTCTTCAAATCCCGTCCAAGGTGAAAATTTCAATTTTAAATGTCAATTTGCTAACACGTGCGCTCAAAAATTTGTGATGAAAACCTTTAACATCCCTTCATCGGGCGCATTTGATTTTCATGTGCTTAATTCAGTGTTGATATTTTGAATTTTTCCGTATATAGTATGTGTGTGTATGTCGATTTTCACTTTCATTCATCATGGGTTTGGGTATATGCCGAACTTCGAATGGCACAAAAACATTTTTCGGATTTTCTACGAAACGAATACAAATTAGGTTATTTTCATTGACAACATGTCACAAACCGATTTATGAATGATTCGTTGTAGTAATGGATGAACAAAGATGAATTCATTCGCATATTTTATGGAAATTGTGACGGTTGACAACAGCGAAATTATCATGCATTACATTTCAAACTCACGTTTCTCTCTCTCTCTCTCTCTCTCTTTCTCACGTTCTCACGCTCTCACGCTCTCATACAAACTTGAAATATTATAATCCCACATTTTCCCACAGATAATATAATTCGTTCAAATTGAGATCATTTACTTCGAACATTTGTATTCAAACGGTTTCCGTTTTTGTATCAGTCGACCAATTTATTCGGGATGTTTGATGTGAGTGTACGCTTCTAATCGAATTGAATGGAATTATCCTTTCTTTTTTTTACCTTCTTAATTCTCGGTATGTGAAAATGAATAACATGGAAAGGTATTTCTGAAAGAATACTACCATTTCCAATCTTCTTATCACTAGACACATTTTGCGCTTCGTTTACATTCAACTATGCCTTCAAATGGCCCAATTACCAACGGATTTGCATTGTCAAGTGAAAACGCTTTAATTTCGTTTTGCTTTGCCCTAGTTTGAATTTACACATCGAGCCATCGGCTGCGAATGCGAAAGTACGAATGACAGAGAAAAAGAAGTAAAACGGGTCGATTCCGCCGAGATGCAGTTGAACGATGTACATTAAAATGTGTTGTAATCACAGATATGACAGCTATTTTGAATGGAAACAGGTGTTCATCATAATTTTGAATCTGTTTTTGACACATGTCAGCTCTCATTCAGAACTGACTTCACTTCTTTTTTTATATTAAAGTTCTATTTGTGATGCAAATAACTTAAAAATCTATGAAAGTTTATGATTATTCTCTATGTTATTCTTTCCGCTGCTAAAAATAGCAACAATAGAAGAAGAATTCTGACAGATAAACGTGGGCATCGGACGCTTGATTAAGCAAAACTGCCTGAAAGTTTCTTTTCCGAATCGGTTTTGGACCACATTCGCCGTCACACAAACAAAAGGCACGCACAGTACATAAGAGCTAATGCAAAAGTCATTTGATGTGCATAAGTAGCGCCACCTCTAATGATTACGGAGAGTTACCATAAGTCTTATGTAATTGATGTTGAGAATATGAAGAAGAAGAAGTAGACATTGTATACATTTACATTGCAATAATGGCAATCAGTAGAGATGGTGCTCATGTGCCGATAAAATCACTGTTACAGCCCTTCGCACACAAAATACAAGCGATTCACAAGTGAATCACTTTCTACATCTGAAATTCTCAAATCATGTGCGTCAATTGACGATAATGAAATACGGTACACGAACTTTGAAAAGCATACATGACATTTTTTTCTATTTTTTGTAAAATGACACGAAAAAATATAATGAACACGCTTAATATCTAATGAGGACTTCCAAATTATTTGTATCAATATTTTATTCAATCATTATTATTCATTCGGCTATGAAGTAAACAAATGAAAAGACAAACGGGTTTCATCCACAAAGTGACGCATGTCACCGTCTCGCAGCACACCCACAAAGTTTGTTCAAGAGCAAATTATTCAACATTTCACTTCATGCCGCATTATAATAGTATATCATTATTTTTTTGTTTTCAACCAAACATACGGCCGTATGCTCGTATAGAAAGTATAACAGTCTCAACTACAAATGTTTGAGAAAAAAAAACACTCACCTGTTTTCGGAACAACATGGCTCGGTATAGCGGTGTAGACTTATTTCCAGATTCGTGCGAAACAATTGATAAAAAATATGGGTTCTTCTCGCTGTCTATGCCCACATAATTTTGGTGCACTACATTCAGCCAAGAAAAAAACGGAAAACATGTCTAATCAATTGAATCCATGAAAAAAAAAGAATTTTTTTTAACGTTTTTTATTTGAAAGTTTGACACAAAAAGTATGTTACGATTGAATTGTTTTTTTTTTTAAATTAAAATGAAAAAGTTATTTTTGAAGCAATGAAAATGTAACTGAATGAACATTTTCATACGTTCAAAAACAGCTTTTTCGTTTTAATTTGATTGTCCGAGAATGAAAACGCAACTTCTATTCACAACACATATAAGTGAAACAAAAATAAAAAAATTTATTGAAATGAAACAACACAATCGAATTTTTTCAAAGTGTAACAACAAAAAAGATTTTTGAAAAAATTCGATTGTGTTGTTTCATTTCAATAAATTTTTTTATTTTTGTTTCACTTATATGTGTTGTGAATAGAAGTTGCGTTTTCATTCTCGGACATTCATTTAAAAATGAACACACATTTCACCATAACATTTCCATGTGCACTATTAATACAGTTCTATATTTTAGCATCTTTTCAAATGGGCTTTTTTGAAGTGTTGTTTTGTTGCTACTTACACTTTCCAAGAAAATATTTGAAGTACCATCTTGTTTGATGTTCTGGATTCTCCAAAATCGGTGTACTTGGTGACCCGAAAACCTATTTATTCATTTCCAAAAAAGAGAGAGATGTATAGTTTTTAATGCATGCCAAATTACTTCCTTGTGGAGGGTTGGGTTCGATGTTTTCCTTGTACATGGAAAGTTTCCACTCGAAATGATTACAACATCGATCAATGAGGGAGATTTTTCTTTTCAAGTATCTTTTCGATAGGTCATAATGCGTGCTCAAACTGAATGTTGGTGATTTTGTTTTCAAATTTGGATACAGCAAAATAAATCTAAGCCATCATTGGCCGTAACGTTGAAATTAGTAGCGGAAAATACTTTTGGCTATCTAATAAGACTACCTTATGAGAATGTGAATTGGAAAATGAAAAAATAATGTTTTCACAATATAATAGCACAATAGGTAAATTTAAGTTGAATTTTGTCTTTTTTGTGTTAAAAAAATAATATTATTGCTTGCTGCGCAGTCAACATAGGAAGTCATTGTGAAATGTATGGAAATGATGTCTTTCTCATCAAAATTGTTGGTCACTTCGAAGCAACTGCAACAAAGCGGAATCATCTCACTGGGATATCTTCAGTTGCTTTATTGAGTATGACTGCCGTGCGACCACCTCATATTCGTATATGATTGTGGTTGTGACCTGATTTGTACTAGTATCTTTTTCAATTTAATTTCCGCCCATGAAATATTCTCAAATTCTGTCGATGTTCAAGCGTCGCGTTTTTATTTTTGCCGTGAAATTGTTTTCCTTTTTAAACATAATTTGCATACAGAATTTGATGGTCGAGCATTCAATTATGACATTAAGCCCTGTGTGAAATGACCATTTATACAAATAACTAGATTGTCGTCACTTTTGATGTGATGTCGTGGCAATGAATTTCATACGTTCTATTTCCAAAGTAAAAAGAACAAAAATCAGATGAATCTCATTTGGCTTGGAATAGCCGCCCCATGAGATATTCATATTAAAATATGGAAATGAACGACAGTGTATCTCGTCCATAAAATTAAAATGCTTCCAATGTGGTGGCGCTCATATCGATTTATGAATTTGTGTTGCAGTTATTGTTATGGTAGTTGGCTCGTGTTGACATAAATTGAATTTTCCATTTTTTTCATTTGAATTGATCAATGTGTCGCTTTAAATGCTGTTTATGCTCTCGTAAGTCCTCTTTCACGCCCTCTATTTCTCTCTCCGACTTCTCTGTCATTTCTCTTGAACGGCCATTATGTTATTAACCACATTATGGGTCTAGTATTGTCAACGCACGTTCGCCTTGATAATATTTTAAGTTTATTAGCCGATGCTTTGGTTTTTATTGCTTTTCATCACATTCGATGGTAAATATTGTCATTGATTTTTATATTGCTTCGATGACTCAGTATAAAAGGTCGCTTAAAAAAAAAAACGAGAAAAATATGCGTTGCGCTTGTGAGGAGTAATTTTTCAAACTTGATTGGTTTTCTTTCGTTTTATGAGAATTCAATTATTCGATTTTTTTTCTCTATAGGCCCTGAAAATTATTGACAATCGCGATATCGATGAAGATGAGTGATTTAATTTATTCCATCCATAACGAGTGCGCATCAAGTTGTTCTCAGAAGCTCTGGAAAATCTTTCAATGACAACGGCTTAGCGGAGGCAATTCAAAATCATTTTCTCAAGAGAAAAGCCCTACAATAAAATGCTTGGTATACTTTTTCGAGTTGGGATTTGGATGTGCGAGCAACAATTAAATAACATATCATGTATATTGTACCGTAGCACAGAGTATATACCTTGATATTTGAATCGTTTATTTGAGTTTGGATGTTCCTAGAGGCATTTTACACTTCGACTTTTTATCATTTTTGGCCGTGTAGCTGTCCTAAAGTGCACATCTATTCCCAATGATATATCCTCTGCGCTGAACACAAAAGATGCTTATCACAGTGTTTTATATACACTTTCGTATGAGTTTTTTCCCCTATGGGCAGCACTCATTTCTACGAGCACAAGGATTCCAGCACAAAAAAGTGAAAGCATAGAATATTCATGGGCCAAAATCAATTTCATGAATAAATTATTCGTCACAGTCACAACAGTTGAAGAGGGAATGGTAGTTCATTTTGGAGTATATGAACATAAAAACTATTTTGTCTTTGGTTTTTTTTTGATTTTCTATGGCTCTAATACCTGTTTCAATGTGAGTGTGGTGGGTAGTTAGCACGAAATTTGCATAATAAACGCCTAAATTTTCATATTGACACCAATAAATCGCATAATAATGTCGTGCATTCACACAATTTCCTACTACGTTTGTTTACTCCCTCAGCTTTGAATTGGAGCCTGTGCAATGTGCAAAGGATTTCCTGCCACTTGACTATCATTGAACAGTTGTTGAAATCGTATCAACAATTTTTGCAAATGCTTGCATTTAAGCGAGTCTTCCGTTTTAACTTGAAAACAGTGATTGAGATCATTTCAATGGCACCAATGTCAAGCATTTTCCCACCGTCGATTCAGTTTTCTTTCTTCCACAAAATGACATGATGAGTAATGGATAATTGCAAATGCTGTAGTGCAGCCATTAGTTGACGTTATTTTTCGTTGTCTTGCAATTTTTCACTTTACAGCTGGCAAAATATAAACGATTCGCTTTTTTCTTGTTGAAATGGGGATACATAAAAAAAGTAATTTCACAAAATGTGGAGCGGAAATACAACCTATTTCGATTTTTCCATTTAGCCTGTTTCACAGCGCAACCCAAGACTTAAAAAACTTTCTCACCTCATCTATTTCGGCCAAAGATTCACCATTCTCCAAACGAAAACGTCGACAGTTCGGGTCAAGGGCGTCCAGATCAGTTTGGGGCAGCTAAAAGGAAGAAAAAAACAAATTGATGAGTAACATTTTATGTGAACTTTTCTACGGCATGGTCCAAATGGTCATAGTTTTCAGTTTCATGACATTAGTGGGATCCAATAGCAATCGACAGTTTAAAATCTCCCATATGGAAGGAAATTTCCGTATTTTAAAGCCAATTTATGGCTTGTTCGCTGCAGGTTTGCTGGAATGACCATTTTTACGACATTCTCGGCCTTTCGGAGTGACATAATTGCATGTATTAAATATTTTCACGACCATTTATGAGTGAAGCGACACAACGTTTCCACCAGAGCAAAAAGGTCGTAACCTTTTCCAAAGCACAACCATTCCAAGCAAGTAATGGCCTCAATCATTCGGGCACATATTTACGATTATTATGATGTGTGTATTTGTTTGTGCTCATCACACTGTGACGATGAATTTCACCCCGTTATACATCTACCGCATACAAGTATAGACACATACACGGCTTTCGTAATGTTCGTCAAATAACAGAATACAATGCCGTTTTGGTTTATCATAGCTGTTATTATAATCATCAGCATCAGCGGTGAATATCCAGCTGTTGAAACGTATGGATTAGACTGAACCACCATAACATCAAATTAATTGCCCGGACACAGTTCTTCCATTTAGCATCATTGTGATCCGTTAAACTGGATGGTTCCGTGAAAGTGAAAAGAAGCTGAGCGCACAGAAAGAAAACAACAATGTTCAATGGCCAATAAACATTCGGAAAGAGAGCGGGAGCGAGAGCGAAAGAGAAATAAAGTGAGTTGAATAGACGACGCACAAAAGCGTTCGATTATAAAATAATTGGCTAACGATATTTGTGGACACTGATGGAGCTCTAAATATAGTCAGTCACAGTTGGATTTTAAGTGGCCTCCATTGAAACATTCAAGTGACTCCATAAAAAAAAGTTGTCGACTTGTTCTATTCAACAAAAACAAGTACAACATAAGTGATTATCTACACCATTAGCCCCAAAATTCAGTTCCGGTTAAGTGAAGAGCACTCAGTTTTTTTCTTCTCGTTTTTATTACAAAAGAATCTCAAAAACTCTCAAAAACTCTCAAACAAATTTACTGTGCAATTTAAGCAAAATTTTGCTGTTTCGGTTTTTTTCCTCATTCAAAATATTCCGCCCGAACATTGTTCTTTTATGTTTGCGAAGCACAAATGGCGTGTTTTATCCACATGAGAGCTCTGCACTATTCATCATTTGGTAATTTTGGCGAGGAGATGATCCAGCTTTCATGTACGTCGCACTAACGGAGGGGAGAGCAAACTCGTACTTGCTGTGCACATAGCCACTAGGGAAAAAAAAATTAATATGAAACAAATTTTCCTGATAGATTTCATTGTGTATTTTTTCTCTTTCGGTATGTGTATCTTATCACTTGTTTAGACGCTAAACTGGCAATTTGCATGCGCTCATGTTACTTGTATTTCGTCCGGTCAATTCGACACAACACAAAAGGCGTTGCTGCTATACGATTTTTTTTCTCTCACCATCTTCTCTCTTTGGAAAATCAATAAACTCATTTGATCATGGTGTATCCTTTTCTGAAACAAAACCATTTGGCAAATGGCGAATGGCAACGGATGGAAACCGCGTAAATGAAAACCGAATGAAGAATGCAAACACTTTCGATTGATACTAATGTAGTTGTGTTGTAACATCTGCCAAAAATGAACCTTTCTGTCACGAAATACAAAGATAAATTAAAATTGTTTGTATTTCAAGCATTTTCTCAAAAGTGTCCAAAGTTAAATCACTTCAATTTGTTAAATTCACAACTTTGGCTGTTTGTTTTCGTTCTAAGACATCGAGAGAGAGAGAAAAAAAACACACACACTTGATTCAATTTACACTCTTCGAGTTTGCAATTTCGGCAAGCTGAAACTTTGAGTTTTGCAATTAAGGCGTCAAAGCATTAGCTTAGAAATGATTTGCTCATGGGCAGAAATTCATTTTGTACACGGAATTCATGGAATCTCGATAAAAACACGAGTAGAGCTCAACTGTGTTAAATTTGTTGGTATGTTCTCTTGTGATTTGCGCATTTTCAAGTATATAAATTTTAATCCTGGATAGCAATAAAATTTTTCTCGTGCGTCTATAGGCGAACATCAAAAATCCATTTAATCGGCTACACACATCAAAAGATTAGAGTTTTGTGTCAAGCTATGTTTAGTGTTTCTTTCAAAGTCAAACCACTCCCGCAATCCCACAGAAGCCTCGAGAAAAAAAATCACTACCAATTCCTTACGTGGAATCCATGTAAATGTGATATTTACGTTCTTATATCTCATTGGATGGCGATATATGTGTGCCTGAATTGGCGAAATATTTTCACTAAGTTGGTTGGATGTGTGTGTGTGTTTCTGTGTGTGCTTGTACAAAGTTTACTTCTCAACATTATTTCTTCTGTATCTTGATCTTGTAAGTGTACCATTTATGAGCTGCTTATTATAAAGCGCGTAATTGCGAAATGTTTGGGTATTGTGTGTGTGTGTGTTTGCTGTGATCTTCTTTAGTTTTCGTTGTTTGCTAGGTGAAGGCGAATAAAGTCAAACAATCAAAAAGTTGGGGAACAACTTAAATCCACATTTTGCGCAGCACTCATTTTCACATACAAACATATACACACACATGTGTCATGAATGTTAACAGCGAAAATTTTATCAGGCATTAGCCTTTCCGAACTGAAATAACAAACTCTGACAAAACACACCGAAATGAGCGAAATGTTTGATTGGTAGCATTTTCCACATTTTTCAGCTTGAAATCGATATCATATTCTGTTTGGATACACCACCGTTTCCATTTCACATTGTAATAATCCACATTCATTTATTTCCGAAACATATGAAAAATGGTTGAAATATGCCGAAAATTTTCCGCACTCGTGTGATGGCTGGCAAATTCCATATAAAACTTGTATACATCGCACTGCAGGTGATGCAGTGTTGTTTGTTCTGTATATATTTGGGGAGTGGAAAAAAAACTTGAAAATAAAATAACTTTATTCCACTAATACGTTTATTTCCACTCTCTTCAGCCATGGCAAACTTAGTCGATTGCAAAAAAAAGAATATTACACATTGAATTTCATCATAAAAGTTGCCAATTGGCTTCCACGCGAATGAGGTTCATTCATTTTCTTTCGCCGTTATTTTCCATGATTTAGATGAGCGTATATGCTATCCGTATCCGGTAAATGGATAGAAGAAATTGCGTTTTTTTTCCTGTAAAAGTCTAATTTTGAATTTACGTCAATTATTACCTGATCCGTTGAGCCATAATGACGACGTGAAAATACACCACGCCGCGATATTAATTCCGTTGCCGACGAGCTGCAAGCAGAGAAAAAGAAAAAAAAAACACACCAAATTAAATTTAATAATTTACCTATGGTATTTTTTAATTAAATGTGATATAAATAAATGCACAAACCATATAAGTTTTAATGAATTATTATGCAAATATAATTTTAATTTCGGCAAGAATTTTAATTAGCATATTAGTGTGCATGAATGTGCAGTTAGTTATTAGCAGTTATGAACTCGACCAAGAAACAGAATTGGCCTTGCACGCGAAAAGCTGATTATAATCAGTTACAGAATATATTTTTGCCAAATTAAATGGCAATTAGATTTTTGGAAAAGCTTTTTTTTCGGTTGAAAAATTTCGGGTTTGAAAATTGATAATAATTCCAGAAAAGGTTTGCATTGAACTTTGAGCCTTATTTATGACGTCTCCTTAGAATGTCCATTCATTAATGTAGTTCCGCAAGCAATGGTCCTTCATGCAACATAAAAAACTGACTTGAGAGCTCGGCACATCCAATACATGTATTTTTCGATTAAAATTGCGGTAAATTCGATTATATAGTATGTTCATGAGAGGTGAGCATTGGAAGTGTTCTTGTTCGAATTGAACACGGAGCAATCTATTATGCGAGTCGTTGAACAGATTGGAGTTTTGATTTAATAAAATTACTTTGGCAGAGAGTCGCACATATGTCGTTGTGATGTGCATTCAAGCGCTGAATTGAGTTATGAAATTAAGTTAATGGTATTTTTT